TTTTTTTTTTTTTAATAAAACTATATATTTGTCAGTATTACATATAAAAAAAAAATGCAAAAGTACATTTTTAAATTGATTTTAAAAAAGTAACGGAAAAGTAACGAAAAGTTATTTTTCAAGTAACGATAACTGTAACGAGTTACTTTTAAAAAGCTATAACTGTAACTGTAACTAGTTACATTTTTTACTCGGTAACGAGTAACTGTAACTAGTTACTTTTAAAAAGTAACTTTCCATTCCCTGAATATAACATAACATGTAATATCATTAATATCTTCGTTAACCGAGAAAAATTATAGATTTAGATATTTCATATATATGATCAACAATTTCTTCTTAATTAATAAATTATTATATGTTTTTTATCATATTTATAGTTATATTACTAAATAATAATAATTGAAATCTAATATCAAACCTTAATGGGTAAATTAATAAACTAATAAATTTTATATCTTATATATATTTTAATTCTCGTTTCTTCAAAACAAAGCACACACCTGGCAAAATCATCAGCCAGCTGTTGATGCACACGTGGATCAGTTTCATCCTTAACGACGTCATTGGCAAACCACGTGGCGGTCGGTTTGGGAAAGCCAATGTAAGGCACGTGAATAGAAAAGTCCTCGCCGGCGCGAACGGTAATATCGCGAACTCCACCAAGATCCATAACTGGTTTGTTAGGTTGCTCTTCGATGATGATCGGATTACTGGGTCTGCTTGGGTCGCTGCTGCCGACATCATTCACTGCAAATACCCTGAAGAGGTACTCTTCGCCCTCTTTCAAATTTGGCACAGTATATACGTTGCTCGGTATAGGCGCATCGTTTACGTCTGACCAATTGTCATCACCCTTGACTTTCTTTTGGATGATGTATCCTCGAATCTTTGAGCCACCGTCGCTTCGCGGTGGTCGCCAGCTTAAAGTCACTGAGTCCTTAGTGATTCTGTCTGCCTTGGGCGGTTCAGGCGCATCAGGACGTACTACAATAATAATGATAATGTAATTAAATATTAGAAGATGCAGTATAATAATTAAAACTGATAATCAATATTTATAGTTTATAAATAAACAAATTAAGTGATAATTCAAGGCTCAGAAGAATAAATCAAAAGTTGAATTAAAGAATTGCCAATATATGAGCCGACACTAGTTGATCATGTATGTAAATCACTGTAAAATAATTATTTTATTATAATCGTATACGTTTCGATCTCTGTTTGAGATCCTCCTCAATACATAGAAAACTTATATTAATAGATGATGTTATAAAATAAAAATCGAAGAATCAAATACGAAGAAACGTACACGATTATAATAAAATAATTATTTTACACACATGGTCAACTAGTGTCGGCTCATATTGGCAATTCTTTAATTCAACTTTTGATTTATAAATAAAGTTTCGAATTGGAACTAATATTAACAATTAGAGTTAAATCAAGATTAAAATTAAAATAAATGCAAATTGTAAGATAAACGCTCAACTTATAAAGTTATAAAATAAAATAAATTTTTTTTGCATATTTAGATCACATTTACTGTAATATATTATTATAATTCAGTGAAGTATACTTACGGCGTTGATGTCCGGCTATGATCGGTTCAGTGGGCTTGCTGGGTTTTCCAGGCCCAGCCTCATTAACAGCACTCACTCTGAACTCATATCGCGAACCTTCGTGAAGATCCTGCACGGTAAATGTCGTGTTTGGTGTCGGGTAATTGTTGACCTTCAACCATTCACCGCCACGCTCACGCTTTTCCACGTAATAACCTAAAGAACACAATATAGATAAGGTGAGTCAAATGTAAAAATTTCTCATAGTTTCATCAAGAAAATAAAAAACAATTAAAATTTCTATTATATTAAATTTTCAATAATTTCAAAGAAACTCTTTAAATCATATGTTAAATGTGTAAGGTTTAATGTGTAACACAATGTTAAAGAATAAAAATTAATTATTGTACCTGTATCGAAACAAACAATTATACAATAACTTATTACGATAATTACCAGTTATAGGCTTTCCTCCGGTATTGATAGGCGGGTTCCATGTGAGACTGCAGCTATTAGGAGTGTAACCCAGAATTTCAGGTTGATTTGGTGCATCCGGTGGATCATATGGGCTCTTGGCGATCACGGCTTTGCCCTCCAAGGGCTCTGACACACCGTACATGTTCTCGGCGCGGACTCTAAAGACATACTTTTTGCCTTCGGTCAAGCCTTTCGCCGTGAAATTCGTCCTGGGGACGTATCCCGGCACTTGTCGCCAATTGTCAGAACCATAATCAGAAACCTCGACGATGTAATTCGTGATATCGGATCCGCCATTGTCCGCCGGTGGATTCCAGGACAGTCCGACAGACTCATGCGTCGTGCCAGTGTATTGCAAAGGACCCTGAGGTGGTCCAGGCTTATCCACAACTATCACTTCAATATCAGCCGAATCTTTTCCATGCTCATTCGTTGCTGTCACGGTGTACATACCACCGTCATCTCGCACCGATTTTTCGATCAGAAGTTGTGTTCGATCACTCTTAGTCTCAGTCTAAGAATATAATAAAAATAAGAACGTGCACAATAAAAAATAAAGATAATTTAAAAAATACACCTACAGATAGGCGAAGAGTTTCCATGAGCGATTTTCCATCCTTGGTCCATTCGATCTTTGGCGTGGGCGCGCCGGACAACGGTATGTTGACATTGATTGGTTCTCCAGCGCGGACCTTGATCTTACGTCCGATTAGAGCATCCAGATGAAGTTTCGGTTTCTCCTTCATAGGTTTAGCCGTGAACACAGATGAAGTTTCACTCGGTTTTCCAGCGCCTGCGGCATTTATAGCCGATACGCGATATTCATATTGATGACCCTCGGTCACATGGTCATCATAATACTCAGGATATTTGACGGGTTCTTTATTCTGCTTTATCCAGCGACCTGTAGCACGATCACGACGCTCCACATCGTAACCGATGATCTTGGAGCCGCCGTTGCTAATAGGCGGAGTCCATTTGATCTTGATGTGATCTTTGTCGGCATCCACGCATTCTGGTTTGCCAGGTTGTCCAGGAACCACTAAGCAATTAATTAAATATAACAATATGTAAACAAAGTAAGAAAATGATAAAAAGGTATAATGTTTAAAAAAATTTGAATAAATTTCCACGTCTATAAATTTATAATTTATAATTACATATGCTTGGAATATTCAATATAATGATATTATTATCATATTTAAAAATTGAGGAATAATTATGAATCCTGAAGATTGGCTCCAAAAATCATATTTAAATATATTTAATGTGATCTTATAATGTAATCTTATAATTTCAGAGTTGTTTCATTGAAGTAATTGTAATTTAAAACTAATAGAATTAATATTCTATTAATAGAGCGAAAGTACTTACCGAATTGATTCTTGGCAACAACAGATCGATCAGTAATCAACGGTTCAGAGCGACCCTGAAGATTTTCTGCAGACACGCGAAATTCGTAGGTAGTTCCCTCGAGCAACCTTGGCACAGTCGCATGATTATACTTGGGATTAACATGTGTAACTGCTGGTACCCAACCGCCACCGTGTGTGAGATCGCGCTTTTCAATGACGTATCCACTGTGAAAATTAGAACAAATATGTATAAATTATTGAAAATATTTTGTGTATAATATTATTAATACTATTATTCTTTTTTACACGTAAATATTGCATAATTCGTACCGCAAATTATATAAAACTTATAATTTTAATATAATATAATTTTATTATATTATACATATATAGAATTATATTTTAATGAGTACGAGGAGAGAGAAATAGAAAGTTTCAGTCCAGGAGATTGATCATACGAGAGAATTAAATAACATTTAAATATCTCGTCCTGGATTCTCTCTATATTATTTTTAATGAAAGAAAAGTCACAAAGGGATCTCGTAAATTAAAAAACATATCGAATAAACTAAATTAAATTATAATATCCGCTCAAATAAATTTTTCAAATTAAACTTAATATACCTCCCCGGTCAAGAATAAATTTGAGCTATACTAGAGAGAGTTGTTAGAAATATATATATAAATTTATTATAATAATAATACCGGTATATACGGAAAGTTTCGACTTCACAGAGTCCTCAACAGCCGCAACCGAATTCTTAAATATCGAATAAAGTCCATTTCATAGATAATGTTAAAATATTAAAAAATTTGCTTACGTAAGTTCGCTGCCTCCATTATCCTTAGGTGGTTTCCATGAGAGCGTGACAGACTGGTTAGTAATTTCTTCATACTGCAAAGGACCTTCCGGCGGTCCAGGTTTATCCAAGACTGTCACTTGGAAGCTGCCTTCGTCTATGCCGCTACTATTCTTTAGTAACAAGTGGTACAATCCCGAGTCAGATCTTTTAGCGTTGACGATATGTACAATTGTATGATAACCAATCGACGTGATCGTCGTCCTATCGTTAGAAGTCAATTCGTTACTTCCTACGCTCCAAGTTGCCTCAGGCGTTGGTTCGCCAATGAAGTCGATATCCACGTGGAAAATAAGTCCAGCCTTGATACGAACGTCCTGCAAGGGCGTCTTAATCTTCGGGGCCACTAAACAAATTGAAGAAAGTTAAATGCAGTAATGTAAGTAAATATATTGTCACCATCACAATATATTAAAAGTATAAAATATAAAAAATATTATAATATATAAAATAACAATTTATAAATCTATAAAATTAAAAACGTTATATATTTATTACTGTTATTAAATTCTTATTAGAATATTTAATCGATTGTCACTTTTTAAATAAATTCTATGAAAATTCACAACTTACGGAAACGAGGTTTGGCAGTGACGAGATCGCTAGGTTCCGATGGTTCGGATTGACCAGCAGCGTTGACAGCAATTATACGGAATTCATACTCCTGGCCTTCTGTCAGATCTGGAACAGTTGTGCTGTTTTGACCAGCCGGCACGTGTACTGCATTCACCCAGTAAGGGCTGCCCTTCTCCTTCTTCTGGACAATATAACCCGTGATTGGTGATCCGCCGTCGTTCTTTGGCACCGGCCATTCTAAATCTACATGGTCCTTGTCCCAGTCCATGATTTGCGGTTTGCCAGGCGCATCCGGTTCATCTAAAAATCGCAGACGCGTTTATTAATATTATTTTTCAAATACAATTTTAGGATTTTATCTTTAGGATTTTATAAAATGCGCGAATTAAATTGTAGAAATCTTTTAATGTGTCACTTTTATTTAAATTTGAAATATCTTTTTCTTTCAAATCACTCACCAAACTCGTTCTTCGCGATGATGCTTTTCGTGGTCTCAAGCGGATCGGATTCTCCGATGTTATTAACAGCTTTGACACGAAATAGATATTCTTTACGATGAATCAGACGGTTGACCTCATGGCTCAACACCATGCTCATACCGGCGTCAGACCAAGTTCCACGAGATAAGTCCATTTTCTCGATAATGTAGTGCAAAATGGGGCTTCCGCCATCGTCAAGAGGATGTCCCCATGTCAAGTGGCAACCCTCTTTAGTGACATTGCTGACATCCAAAGGCTTCTCCGGTGGTGCTGGTCTGTCGAGGACAGTGACTCTCGCGCTGGCACTGAAAATTGAACATCATTTGTTCAACTAACAATCATTAAAATTAAATTATGTTATAAACAAATTTTTGTTAAAAGAATTTCCTCAAATTAATAATTTCATATTAAAAATTTGTTTATATTTTGTCTTATTATTTGTTAAAACGTCCTTTTTAAATAAATGTACAAAGCGTTGTTTGACACAAATTAATTTGATTAAGAGATTTTTTGTTATTTAAATTATAATCATATTAAAGAATACTATAATTTTTTTATTTGTCAAGTACCTGAAGCTACCATGTTCGTTCTCCAAAGTTAGAGTGTAACGTCCAGTATCACCACGGACAGAGAATGGAATCTCGAAGGAAGTTTCAGTGTTAGTGGTATACATCTCATGACGAGCATCGGCTACAATCTGTACACCATCGCGGTTCCATGTTGCCTTTGGTTTAGGTGACGCCACGATAGGAATGTTGTAACTGATCTTTTGACCGGCGCGAACCACCAAATCGTGCAACAAATGTGTATCGAATGAAGGAGCAACTGCAATTAATAAAAAGAAACGATGAAGGCAATATAGTTAACAAAGAAAAAACATCTCCAATTGTTAGAAAGAAAACAAATTATAAAAATCTTTATTTCTCAGAAGCTTTCATGCGAGAAAAATGTGCATTAAAAAAAATAGCTTGCGAAAATACGAAAATATTTTATATATTTTTATAATAAAAATTTTTTTAATAATTCAATTATTAATTACGAGAAAGAAATTTAAACTTACTGAAACGAGGCTTAGCAACAATTGGCGCCGATGCTTCGGATGGTTCACCAGGTCCGCCCTTGTTCACGGCAATGACTCTGAACTCGTATTCCTGACCCTCGGTCAGGTCAGGTACTCTGCCGCTAGTCTTGTTTCCAGGTATCTCGGCGGCCTTTTCCCATTGTCCAAAACGAGGCCGTTTTTCAATAATGTAGCTGGTTATGGGCGATCCGCCGTCTTTCTTGGGTGGTGCCCATTCCAAATCCACATGATCTTTGTCCCAGTCGGTGGCAACCGGCGTACCAGGTTTGTCTGGCCTGGCAAACGGATCCTTGGCAGTGATAGTGTCCATTCCCGTCAATGGCTGAGATTCACCCTGCTTATTGACCGCTCGTACGCGGAACTGATAGTCGTGCCCCTCAATCAGGTGGCCCACCTGCGCTGAAGTGGTGTTAGCCTCAGCCACAGGCACCCATCGCATATTTTCCGTGTCCATTTTCTCAACCTGATAGTATTGTATCTCAGAACCGCCGTCATCCTTAGGCGGCCGCCACTTCAAAGTGCAGCCGTTTTTAGTGACGTTGTCGATCTTCAGCGGACCTTCTGGTGGCAAAGGTACATCCAGTACGTTTACTGTTAATGTAGCAGAGTCCTTGCCATTCACATTCTTGGCTACAAGCGTATAGACACCGGAATCGGAACGTTTCGCCTCCATTACGCGCACCTTAGTATTGTAATCCTCATTGATGATCTTAATACGATCATTTGCCATTACTATGGCATCCTTTAGCGACCACTCCTTGCTTGGTGGCGGTTCGCCAGTTACCGGTACATCGAAGTCGAAGAAACTGCCAGCGCGCACTTTCACGTCCAGCATGTACTTCTTGTCGATCTTTGGTGGAACTGAATACAAAATATATAATTAATTATAGGTACGTTATTAAATTGTAAATACAATACCTACCAAATATTTTTAGTCAGTTTTTTGTTTCTTAAACTTCTAAGTTATAAGAATATTTTAAAATAATTTAATTTTTATAAATATATACAAAATTTAATAAATTCTTTGTAAATACTTACGATTCTTCGGTCGCGCTATATGGGACTTGGACGCTTCCGAAGCTTCGCCAGGACCAGCCTTGTTGACGGCCCTTACGCGAAATTCGTATGGAGTTCCCTCGACCAGGTCGTCGACTCTGCCACGGTTCGTGTCGCCATCAATTTCTGCACATTTCTCCCAAATCGGACTGTATTTGTCGCGTTTCTCTATAACGTAACCGGTAATTGGTGATCCACCATCTTCCTCAGGGCGACTCCATTGAAGCTCAACGAAGTCTCTGTCATAATCAATCACCTCGGGTGTACCCGGTTTCCCTGGTTCGTCTACAAAAAATAAAATAATATAAAAAATGTGAAAATATAATATTGATATTTTCGCTTGCAAATATTGGAATATAAATTACGAGTAATTATAATAATTATATTGAAAATATATGACGCACTTAAATTTTTGTTCACAAATTCATAAACTTATTATTAAAAATTGTTATAGCAAATGTTTTTCTTACCGAAGGGATTCTTCGCTTCGATGCCTTGCATGGCGGTGAGAGGCTCGGATTTGCCTTGCTTGTTGACTGCTCGCACTCTAAACTTGTATTTGTGCCCTGGCGTCAGGCCTTCCACTTGCAAGCTCGTTTCCGGTCCATCAGTCTCTCCAGCCGGCACCCAACGACCTGTGGCCTCGTCCATCTTTTCCACGACATATTTATCAACTGGCTGTCCACCATCATCCTCGGGCGGCTTCCATGTGAGCTTACAGCCCTCGGCGTGTACATCAGATGCGCGAAGTGGACCTTGAGGCGGGCTCGGTTTATCCAGCACTGTCACTTTGACGACCGCCTCATCTCGGCCGTTAATATTCTCAGCAATGACAGTGTATTTGCCTGATTCCGCACGCGTAGCCATCCGCACGTTCAGACTGGTGTTGTAATCCACGTGCTTAACTTTGACACGATCAGTCGGTCGAACCTCCTTGCCGTTCAGCATCCATTTGGTAGTTGGCGGTGGCTCGCCCGTTACCTTACAATCAAAGTTGAAGTTTTGGCCGGCTTTGATTTTCACTTCAATCAGGTTGGTACGATCAATCCTGGGCGCTAGATTGCGTGGTTTGGCGATGATAGTCGGTGTAGCGTCCGACGGTTCACCAGGTCCAGCTTTGTTTACGGCACGCACACGGAACTCGTACGGCTGACCTTCAATAAGATCAGGTACTGTAGCGGATGTTTCATCTGCAGGCACCTCCAGTGCCTTCTCCCATTCGCCGTACTTGTCTTTCTTTTCAATCACGTAACCAGTAATCGGTGAACCGCCATCATTCTCCGGTGGGGTCCATTTCAGATCGACATGGTCTTTATCCCAGTCAGTGGCTCGAAGATCACCTGGTTTGCCGGGTTCGTCTGAACATAAAAATAAAAGTTTCTCTCCAATTAAGAATAACATTTTTTAAATTATGTTTCGTAATTTATATTTATCACGATGTTTTGTATAATTTTAATATACGTTTGATTAACGTACCGAATGGATTTTTGGCTACTATCGTCTGCTCCGCTTCTAAAGGTTTGGATTCGCCTTCGGCATTGACCGCAGCTACCCGGAAGAGATACTCCTTACCAGGTGTTAGGCCTATCACCTCGAGAGCTATAATAAATAAATTCATTTGACATGTTATATCAATATTATAAAGGAATTTATGTATTTAAAAATAGTGAATTTATATCAGGAAAATTTTATCACTGAAAAATGAAGAAATTTGAAACGCTTTATATAAAATACAAAAAAATAATAGAAGCAAGAATGATTTTACATCGTTTAAATGAAATTTAATGGAAATATTGTATCAGTTTTTTTTTCAATTAATTAATCTGGTCATTTACTTGGTTCGGTAGAACGTCCGCAAGGTACCCAACATCCGGTCTCCGGGTCCATCTTGTCCACTTGATAGTACTCGATGGGCGTACCGCCGTCGTCTTTAGGTCTCTTCCATTTCAACTTGCATCCTTCCTTATGCACATCCGACACTTGAAGCGGTCCTTCAGGCGGCGTCGGCTTGTCCGTCACCGTCACCTGCACCGTCACCGAATCCTTGCCCGATGAATTGCTAGCGGTGACAGTGTAATCGCCACTGTCGTCCCGCGATACTGGACGTATGCTAAACTTGGTATTGTAGTCGATGTTGTCGATCTGCACCTTGCGATCGGAATGAAGCGGTATTGCGCCGTAACGCCACTCGATATGTGGCGGTGGCTCGCCGATTACGTTGGCGTCGAATTTCAGCATCGAGCCAGCGGACAGAGTAACGTCCCTCAAATTGCGCCTGTCAATCTTCGGGGCCACTGTGACATATAATAGATTGATTAGATGCCAATATCAGATTTAGATAAGCACGCGGTTCATTGAAATTATTTTTGGAACATGCGTACGTTTTAATGGCAAACGTACAAGGATTATTATCCTGTTATGATTGATTGCGTGTCTAATTAAGATTTCAGATACGTATGCCTATTATTAAATAGATTTATTATAAGATTATATATAAGAAAATATTTTTTAATTATTTGTACATATATATATATAACTTATCTAAAGGAAAATTATAATCAAATCAACTATGAATTATTATTATAGCAAGAAAAAATTTAAAAAGTTGAAATATATTATAAATACTTACAGAAACGCGGCTTAGCAGTAAACGTCTTGCTAGCTTCACCGGGCTCCGATTGACCAGCCTTGTTTACGGCAATCACGCGGAATTGATAATCATTGCCTTCTATTAGACCATGTACCAAAGCTTTTGCGACCGGTGTCCCGGTCTCCAAAGCCTTCTCCCACATGGTGCTGTATTTATCTTTCTTCTCAATAATGTAGCCTGTAATAGGCGAGCCACCGTCGCTGACAGGTTCTTTCCAGGCGAGTTCAACCTGATTAGCTGTCCAATCAACCGGTTCCGGTGCTCCAGGTGCAGTTGGTATAGCTGTAAAAGTTAATTATTATAACAAAATTGACAATTAATGTTATAAAAAAATATAGAGTTATAATGAGTAAAATACTATTTTTATATGTTATAATATGCTATGAAAAGTAGAAATGAAAATTAAAAGTAAATAAAACTATATTTACCAAAGATATTATATGAAAAGCGCGTGCGCACGGGTGCGCAAAACACATACATACACATTATATTATTTATTCAAAACATTTTAAAATTTTATTATTTTGAAAAATTATAACAAGTATTCCACTTACTGAACGGATCTTTCGCTACGATGGAGCTAAAGGTTTCCAATGGTTCAGACTCTCCTTCCTTGTTAAGTGCTTTGACTCGGAACTTGTACTCATGTCCAGGTGTAAGTCCTTCAACCTTCATCTCGGGTCCAGTAGTTTTACCAACTGGTAGCCAGACACCAGTTTCTGGATCGAACTTCTCCACGAGATAGCCCTCAATTGGTTCTCCACCGTCGTCCTTAGGTTTCTTCCATTTAAGCGTACATCCTTCTTTGTGTACATCAGATACTTCCAATGGTCCTTCTGGTTTGCCAGGCTTGGCTGATAAATAAACAAAATTTAGATTAAATTGTTAAGTAAGTAAAAAAATAAAACTATAAACGAAGAATGAATTTTTATTACAGATTATTACATATTAAATATTTTCATATTATATTTAATGACAAAGAGAAAAACAACAGATAACATAGTTTATTTATTATAGACTCATAATTGTTTTCTTTAATTATATAGAATTTGTAAAACACTAACTTATAAAAATTACTCACAAACAACGGTGACTTCGACTTCGGCAGTATCGGAACCATGCTGATTGATTGCTGTGATCTTATAAGTACCACTATCCTTGCGTTCGGGCTTATCGTTGAAGAACTTGCTATTGTAAGGTACATTCTGTATTCTGCGATGTGTGGTTTGCTGGATGCTCTTATTGTTGATTACCCACGTGACGTCTGGCGGTGGTTCTCCAATAATTTTAACGTCAAAGTGAAACGCTTCGTTTTCACGCACAGTTATATCGCGTAAATTTCGTCTATCAATCTTCGGCGGGACTAGACAATCAAAAGAAATAATATTATAATTAATATATCTATTCTTCGTACCTGTTAAAATTTTTTTAAATTTTATTTTTTAACAAAAATATTTACATAAAAAATTTTTACATTAAAAAAATTGTTTTAATCTGTAATTTAAGATTTTATTTATTGAGAAGAAACTATTTATGTGTTCTAAAGATTATTTAACGGAAGAATATTTAATTATGAACTCACGTCTTCGACTCTTGGCGGTAATCGGTTTGCTAGCATCGGACGGTTCACCGGGACCGGCAGCGTTAATGGCCTTGACCCTGAATTCGTATTCGACACCCTCGTCGAGATTGTCGACGCGGCCTTTGCAATCCGGCCCAGTCTCGCACGCCTTGATCCACTTGGGTGCGCCCTTCTCCCGCTTCTCGATCACGTATCCGGTGATTGGAGATCCACCGTCTTTTAACGGTGGAGTCCATCGCAGATCTACGTGATCCTTGTCCCAATCAGTCGCCTCCGGACGTCCTGGTGCACCAGGTTCATCTGTGGTATAAATAAAACTGTTGTTATATACTTATATCTGAACTGAGAAATGCAGGATAAAAAATTTCAAGGACTAATTTCAAGAAGTATAAATAATCAATAACTATATATGTTAAAGTTTTCTTAATTAAAAAAAAATTTTAATTGCTTTACTATAATGTGCTTTACAATACTGTGTAAAGCAATTAAAAATTTTTTTAAATTAATTTTGAATAAGTAATGGAGAACAAGAAAATAAAAATTTTATTTATGTGATATATTTGTCGTGAAAAATTTTAATATAAAAAATTTAAATAATTCGAAGTTAAATAAAAAGATAGCTTTAAAAGATTATAGAAATCTCACCAAATGGATTCTTGGCGACGATTCCATATTCGGTCTCCAATGGTTCAGATTCACCTTCCGCGTTTACAGCTGCAACTCGGAACTTGTATTCCTGTCCGGGCACTAAGTTTTCTACCACCATCGTGGGTTCCTTGGTGCGTGCGACAGGTATCCATCTACCGGTTTCTGTATCCATTTTCTCGACTACATAATGGTCTAAAGGTGCACCACCATCGTCCGCTGGTGGATTCCACTTGAGAGTACAGCCCTCCTTATGTACATCAGAAACCTTGAGCGGTCCTTCAGGTTTGCTAGGTTTGTCTAGTACCAGGATCTCGATAGACGCCTCATCTTTGCCGGAACTGTTTTCTGCCTTCAAAGTCAGCGTACCACAATGCGCCCTGGTCGCCGATGAGACCACAAACTTGGTCTTGTAATCCTCCGTTTCGATAGTCAAGACGTTGTCGGATTCCTGCTTGGCCTTGTTCAAGAACCAGGTCTTACTTGGCGGCGGTTCACCCGTAACTTTAACGTCCAGTCGAATTACATTACCGGCCTTGATTGTAATATCCTTTAGATTTGTGCGGTCGATCTTGGGCGCAGCGTAACGATCCTTGGCAGTCAAGGTTTCACTGGGCTCGCTGGGCTTGCTCTGGCCACCTTTGTTCACGGCCTTAACTCGGAATTGATATTTTTGACCCTCCACAAGATCTGGCACTTTGGCTTCGGTTTTGTTACCCGGAACTTCCGCGGCTTTCTGCCATTTACCGTACTGATCTTTCTTTTCAATGATATATTTTTCAATGGGAGCACCGCCATCTTTCTTCGGGGCTTTCCATTTCAAGTCAACATGATTCTTTGACCAGTCCTTCAACTCGGGTTTGCCGGGCGCATCGGGTTCAGCTGTGTAATTAGAAATAAATGTTTAAAAATATTTTGTGAGATTTGGTGAGATTTCTAATGTTTTATAAATATTTTATTGTAAGAGTATATTTTCTAAGATGTTACAATATCATTAACAAAATTTTAAAAAATTAATTGTAAGGAATAATAAAAATGAGATATTTACAATAAGGATTTTTAGCAGTTGTCGGTATGGACGTTTCTAGAGGTTCGGATTCACCCTCTGAATTGACAGCTTTGACACGGAATTGATAATCCTTGCCCTCATTTAGACCGGATACGTCTGCCTCTGGAGTTTTGCTGGTACCGCATGGTACCCAACGTCCTGTGTCCACATCCATCCTTTCGATAACATAATGATCAACCGGTTCACCACCATCGTCATCGGGTTTATCCCATTTTAGCTTACAACCCTCGGCCGTTACATCCGATACTTCAAGAGGTCCTTTTGGTTTGCCGGGCTTACTTAGAACCTGTTAAACATCAAACAAATGATCAATTATATTTAATAAAGGATGCTCTAACAAACAATTTCACATTCTTAATTTGCAAAGCAATTGTCGTACAAACCTGAAGTTCGACGTCGACTTGATCAGTACCACTGTCATTCTTGGCGATGACGGTGTACGTGCCGGTGTCCGAGCGCTGAAGCTTATTGAGGATGAACATAGTATGATAATCCTCGTTCTCAATCTTTAATCGGTCCATGCTCTTCAGCACCGTATCCTTAAGTTTCCATGTAACAACTGGTGGTGGTTCACCCTTGATATCAGCCTCAAGTCGCAGCATCTGACCAATTCGCATGACTTTCTTATGGAGGTTTTTACGATCAATATGCGGTGCCACTATATATGAACAGACAGTAAAATTAGTTAGATATAATTGTTATCATACTAAAGACATAAATTTATTTAACAATAAAATTATTTAACAAATAAGAAATAATATATATACGACGCTTACAAAATCGAGGTTTGGCCACAACGCTTTTTGAAGTATCGCTGGGTTCGCCAGGTCCAGCTTTATTGACCGCCACAATTCTGAACTCGTATTCGTGACCCTCTTGGATACCATCAGTCACTTTAGCGGCCGTTCGGTCTCCCGGAACTTTAGCAACGTCCACCCATTGTCTACCTTCTTTGTCTCGCATCTGCACGATATACTTTTCGATAGGCGCACCACCGTCATCCTTAGGAGGAGTCCATTCGAGGTCGACGAAGTCTTTATCCCAGTTTTTGAGCTCTGGTCGGCCAGGCTTACCCGGTTCGTCTAAAACCGAAAATAATTAAGTTTCTAAGTTACAAATTCAAATTTTCCAAAGTTTAAATACATACCGAATGGATTTTTGGCTATAATAGACTTGTCAGCTTCCAGATCATCGGATTCTCCTTCTCTATTGACAGCCTTCACGCGGAATTTGTATGGTTTACCCTCCTGCAATCCTGTGATGGTCGCTTCAGGTTCTGTACTACGGCCACACGGTACCCATTGTCCTGTAAGAGGATCCAGCTTCTCGATCTCATAATATTCAACTGGTGCACCACCGTCATCTTCCGGTTTGTCCCATTTAAGTTTACAGCCATGTTTGTTAACATCGCTCACTTCCAAGGGACCCTGAATTATAAATGAGGTATAATTAGATTATGAAGACAAAGCTTATTAATTATTAATAATATTCAAAATAATTATTAATAATATAATGTTAAAAATTCTTACTTTTGGTTTGCTGGGCTTGCCAAGAACAGTGATTTCTACTTCAGCAGTATCTTCGCCGACTTCGTTCTTTGCATTGATCACGTATTTGCCGGTGTGTACGCGTTTAGTCTTTAGTATAAAGAATTTTGTATTATAATCAACATTGTCGATTCGTATCGTGTCGTCCGATACGAGTTCTTTATCTTTGAAGGTCCAAGTGACTTTTGGCGGCGGTTCGCCAATTATGTTTACATCCAGCGTTACGGTAAGACCAACTTTTACCGTTATGGGTTGCAGATTCGTGCGATCGATATACGGTTTCACTTTAAAATAAAAATGAAAAAAATTAAATATCGATAAAAATCTGTCCTTTTATATATAATAATAAAAGTCGAATTTAAATAAATTCTAATAAATATATATTTTTACATAAAATATTATTAATAGAATAATTTTTTTAATGCGATATCCTTTTTATATTTTCAATCTTTTTGGATTGACTAAAAGACTATATAATGTATTCAAATAAAGTAATAATACTTACGCCAACGAGCTTTAGCGGTGTGCGGATTGGTAGCTTCGCTAGGTTCACCAGGTCCAGCTTTATTAACGGCACGTACTCTGAATTGATACTGATTGCCTTCTTCTAAACGTGGAACTGTACCAGTACATACGGGCCCTTGCACTTCAGCAGCCTTGACGAAATTAGTACCAAATTTATCTTTCATCTCGATGATATACCCAGTAATTGGTGCACCTCCGTCCCTTATTGGAGGTTCCCACTTGAGCTTCACCATATTCTCCGACCAATCGACAATCTCTGGAAGTCCAGGCGCCGCTGGAGCATCTAAAATATTCCATAAAGTATGCCGTAAGCTTTCCTGTTCTCTTTTAATAATTAAAAAAATTATAAAATAAACGATATAATAAAATTAATAGATTTTTAAATCGCGCGTCTTCTTTGTTTGATATTGTATCGTAATATAATGTTTGATATAATTGTTTATTTATTATTAGAAAGAGAAACAAGCAATAAATATTATTTATAATTATTAAACAATGTTTGATACATCTGTAAAAAAATTTTATTTATACATTTTTAATTATCAATTTTTCTAAAAAATAAGAAAAATATTTACATGTTACAGATGTATCTAAAATTATTTAATCGAAAATAGAATAACGTATAAAAATAAATATGTATAATATATGAACATTGTATAATCATTAATCATTAGATACTATACCGTATGGATTCTTAGCTACGATGCCAACGTCAGTTTGCAAAGGGTCTGATTCTCCTTCTTCGTTCACAGCCTTCACACGGAATTCGTACTTATGGCCAGGTTCCAAACCGGTAACTGCGTGTTCAGTTTTATCAGGATCCACGATACCGGCTGGTACCCAACGACCTGTCGTTACGTCCATTTTTTCTACTATATAACTAGACAGAGGTAGTCCACCATCGTCTTTTGGCTTGCTCCATTTCAATTTGCAGCCCTCCTTGTGCACGTCGGTCACTTCTAGAGGTCCCTCTGGCTTTCCAGGCTTGTCTATAAAATTACATAATAAGTTTTACAATATAAATATATATTATGTTATATAATTGTACATTTAGTTTAGTAATTTAGTCTAATATAATTTGTATTACTTTACATATTTATTATTTCATATTAAAAAATATGTTGAAAAATTTATTTATATTATTATGCATTTCTTATTTCAACATGAAATAAAGTATTTGGTATACGTATATATGAGGCATTCCATCCCAAGTGTGCCATTCGAAAACTTAAAGCCGTACTCTTACAAATAAGATTGAACAATAATAACAATTTATAAAAATAAAAAATTATATTGTAAAAAAATTCATAATAAGAAAACGATAGGTAATTTTAGTATAAAAGTAATATCAATCACGAAAACACTTTTTTTTTAAATAGGTAAATATATAAAAATAAGTTATTACATTGAGAATAAATCGAAAATTTTAGGAAATGAAAATGTCACGAGTTTATATCTATTTTATAGTATAAAAAAATGCAAAATTGAAAAAAAATTAATTCGAAAAGAATAGAAGGAAAAATTTACCCACGATCAAATTAGTCTTAATAATCATCAAATAAATCTAAGTTTTTATGAGAATTTTTTTTTTAATTAAACGTGTCATACTTTAAAAAATTAATAATTTTTTTACATTAAATTAAAAAAAAATTAAAAAACAATGTTGAAACTTTTCTTGATATTTTTTTTTTTTAATTAAACGTGTCATACTTTAAAAAATTAATAATTTTTTTACATTAAATTAAAAAAAAATTAAAAAACAATGTTGAAACTTTTCTTGATATTTTTTTTTTTAAATCTAGAGAACAAAACACACAATTTAAAAAAAAAGAACGTTTTATTTGGATTATTTTTCGCAAAGTTATAGGCATTTGAAAATTGCGAATTTTGAAAAAAAATTCATATCTCATGACCGTGTTGATAAAAAAATTCGAAAAAAATCATGGTAGCTTCTTGCGATGGGTACTATAATATATCAAAATTTCAGCCAAATAAAAAATCCAAAAGTTTTCGAGTGGCACACTTGGGATGGAATGCCCCATATATATATATATAAAATAAAATATTATAAAATACATAAAATTTCGTTTTATTTAAGTTAAAAATAAAGATATTGGTGCAACATACCTATACATATGGTATATTTAAGTTTACTTACCAAGAATATTAATTTCTACATCGGCCTCATCTTGTCCGGAATCGTTCACAGCCTTGATAGTATATTTTCCAGTTAACTTTCGACTGGTATTTGATAACTGAATCTTAGTGAGGTAGTCTTCGTTATCAATTTTAACATTGGCTCCAGTTTGAAGGGGTGCACCGGCAAAACTCCATGTAACTGTTGGAGGAGGTTCACCTTCGACATCAACTTCCAACTTCACTAGTTGACCTGCTCTTACTTTGATAGTCTGTAGCTTATCACGATTGATGTGCGGTTTCACTATAAAAAACATTTTTATATAATATTACTTAAATTATTTTGTAATAAAATGTTAATTTAATATTTATTGTTTTTTATTTTATATGAAATATGATAAATTAAATTTTAGTGTTAGAAATCTTAATTCTCAAATCATATAAAAAAAAATTTTAATAAATTTAACATTATTTTTATAAGGTTATACATATCGTATATGTAATTATACGATATAATTTTTCTAATTTATAATTATCAAATATTTTAAGCTTTTTGTATATAATGATAAGTTATATTTAATTAAAGTTTATTAATCAAATTAAAATACTAACGGTATCTTGCTTTTGCAACGTGCGGCTTGGTCGGGTCGCTAGGCTCTGATGGTCCAGCCTTGTTAACAGCACGAACACGGAACTGATAAGTGGAACCCTTTTTCAAGCCGGTAACACGACCTTTTGGTTGTGGCGAGTCAGTGACAAGAGCTTCTTCCCATTGTGAGGAAGGTTTCTCCTTCTTTTCAATAATGTAACCGGTGATCGGCGCACCGCCAGTATTTTTAGGAGGTTCCCATTTAAGATCAACGCGATCAACGTCCCAATCTTCGAATTCCGGTGTGCCAGGCTTGCTTGAAACATCTGTAAAAAAAAACATTTGATTTAATATTGCTACAAAAAATATTGCAATATTAAGTAATATTGCAGAATATTTTAATTAAGCTGTAAAAATGATACAATAAATTATTGCATTTATTTTATATTAAATTATACTTTAATATATAATAACTGGTGTACTTTTTTAGAGAGTTATTGCATAATATCAATTTTTACTTTTGGATAATTTACTTTAATAAACATTTTTTAATTTTTTTATTCATTACTATTTCATTTACCATAAGGATTCTTTGCAAGTGTAGAACCGTCTGACACAAGTGGCTCCGATTCTCCTTCTTCATTCAGAGCTTTTACTCTAAACTCATACTCGTGTCCTTCCTGAAGACCTTTTACATCCATCTCGGTATCTGCGGTACGACCGACTGGTATCCATCTGCCTGTTGATTTATCCAATTTCTCCACTTGATATCCAGTGACCGGTTTGCCACCATCGTCTTCCGGTTTGTCCCATTTGAGTTTGCAGCTGTTCTTTGTGACATCCGCCACTTTGAGCGGCCCTTTTGGTTTTCCGGGAGCCGCTGTACACAAGAAACATTAATGCAATAATTTAAAATATAAACATAAAAGAATTTTATAATTTATATTCTATAAAATATATTTTACAGTGTTAGAAAAACTTTATATTTTTGCTACTCACATAATATCGTCACTTCAACTTCCGCCTCGTCTTCGCCATGAGGGTTGACAGCCTTGATCTTCCATAAACCAGTATTTTTGCGCAGGCTGTCGGTGATAGTGAGTTTCGTATTGTAATCAACATTGACGATCTCGATATTCTCACCGGATTTTACTTCATTACCGACGTGATACCATTTGATCTCCGGCGGTGGTTCGCCGTGTACATCAATGTCGTACTTAACTGTCTTACCGGCTCGCACGACAATCGGTTTCAAGTTCGTTCTGTCGATTCTCGGCTTCACTAAAGTGAGCGAAATTATATAATAAAATATTATTTTTTATGATAAAAATAAATAGTTAAATGTTTCTCTACAATATTCTTTTTCTTAATTAATTATACTATTAATTGTTATATGTTTACATTGGGTTGGAAAAAAAACTACAAGTTTGCTCCCGCCGTTTTTACAGGTATAAAACTATCTATATGAAAACGGCGGGAGCAAACTTGTAGACCCTTATAAAAGAACTTTTCCTATCATTTGTTACGAAATTTTCGTTGCAATTATATCATTCGACAAAACAGAGTTTCAGCTTGAATCTGTTTTTTAATTGCAGTATAATGATTTTTAACGGAGTTATGAGGAATCAAAATCAAGCTTTCAGTAGTCAAAAATTTTCACAAATTTGTTTTGAGCACGTGAAAGACCCACAAAATAAAAAGAAAATTTTTCATCTTCTTAAGTTTATAGTTTTTTTTATATGTAAAAAATATTAAACTCACAGAAATTCAAAAAATGTAGCAACCTTTCGCGCGCGCGAAAGAGATGTTATGCTTCAAAACCCTATTTTAAAATTTAAATTCGTTTATTTTTAACGAAGATATTGTAAAACAAAGGTCCTTCAACATATATGTAAAAATACTTTTTCCTCAATTCAATTTATATATGTAATATATAACATGTATTAATTGTAATTATATTAGGTATAATTTGATGGAACTCACGAGCTTTGTGTTTGCAGATCTGCATCTTCGATGCGTCAGACGGAGGCGAGGGTCCAGCTTTGTTTACGGCAATGACTCGGAACTGATATTCGCCCCTTTCCTTTAAATCAGGTACCTTGCCCTCAAGTTGATTTCCAGGAACTTCGATAGCCTTTTCCCAATCGGGCTTATACCTATCTTTTTTCTCGATAATATATTTTTCAATAGGCGCTCCTCCATCGAATTCTGGTGGAGCCCATTTCAAGCTTACGGATTCGTTATCGTAATCAGTGATTTCGGGCGTTCCTGGCTTCAACGGTTCATCTGAAAAAGAATTATTCAGTTTATGTTTAAATTTATAATATCTATCTATATTTTACATTTAGCGCTATAATTACAATCGTTTGAATTTAAATTAAAAATCTAATTATATTTTTAATTTAAGATCAAAATATAGATGTAATACTAAGTATCTAAGATAAATTATTTTTATATATTTTTTTGTCGAACATATTGCAACTTCTTAATATTTAATACTTTGTATTTTAATAAATAAATTTTTAGTTAAAATTTTAAAGAGATAATTAAACAAAAAGTTGAAACGTATTAGTTAACTACTTAATTAAAATATAATATTTACTTTATATTATATAATCAAATAAATTAATTAATAAAGTAATTTCAACATGTGTTTCTTAAATTATTCTATTAAGTATTAGATATATTGTTTAATTATGTATAAGGAAAATATCAATATACCATAAGGATTCTTGGCAATAACGCCACGTTCACTCTCTAAAGGCTCCGAATCACCCTCGTCATTGACAGCTGTTACACGGAACTTGTATTCGCTTCCGGGATTCAAGCCAGTGACTTCAAATTCAGTGTTCGGAGAATTTCCGGGCACTTTACCAACCCTGACCCATTTGCCGGTCTTTGTGTCCATCTTCTCGATTTCGTATTCTTTGATTGGCACACCACCATCATCATCTGGCTTCTCCCATTTCACCTTCGCCGAGGTATTAGTGACATCACTGACTTCCAGAGGTCCTTTAGGAGCATCTGGTTTTCCTGTAAGAAAAAATTTTGCTATAAAGATTCTCTTCTTTTTAAGACTCTTTTTTGTTTAAAAATTGATCCGTGCAACTGATACAAAAATAAGATAATAAAATTTTAAACTAATCAACGAATTTATTAAATATTAGTAAATTATTATCCTTATATACAAGATGTCGCAAAACAAAACATAAATATGAAAATTAGACTTACCGAGTACGGTAAGTTCGACGGTTTCTTCGTCTTTGCCATTAGCATTCTCAGCAATAAGTGTATACTTTCCGGTATCCTTGCGCATTGCATTCACGATCGTAAAGTCCGTGTGATATTCGACATTCTCGATCTTAATGCGCTCGGTGGTAGTTAATGGGATATTATCTCTCCAGATCCATCTGGTCTCCGGCGGAGGTTCACCAGATACATCCACAGACCATTTATGAGTGCGACCAGCTTTGATAATGACTGATTTGAAATTGGTTCGGTCGATTCTCGGTCTCACTGAAAATTTTTCCAAATTTAAGAAGTAACTAGAATAACCTTTATATAAGAATTACGGAGTAATGTTGTAAAAAAATCATTTAATAATTATTATTAATAACTAGAAATTTCATCGATTTTATGTGACTGATTTGCGAACCATAATAACTTTAACTTACTATTCCGGTGTTTGCATAGATGATTGTCTGTGGGATCGCTTGCCTCGCTAGGACCGGCCTTATTGTGAGCGCGAACGCGGAATTGATACACCATTTTTTCTTTAAGGCCTTCAACTTTAGCCTCAGGTGTCGAGTCCGTGGTCTTCATTACCTCAACCCAGTCGACGGCGAATTTGTCTTTCACCTCGACAGTATAGTGAGTGATCGGTCTGCCACCGTCACTCTGTGGTTTCTCCCATTTCAAAGACACACTGACGTTATCATAATCAAAGATCTGTGGCTTGCCAGGTTTACCGGGCTCGTCTGTCAAAAATATATAAAATTGACTCACACACACACACAAAACGTCACTTCATTACCAGTAATTCAATTGAGTTAATCAAATTAAATTAACGATATTTATATTGTCAAATTTTATTTTAAACATTAATTTCTCTGTATGAAATAGTTTTGTTAATTATCTATTTCCATCCAAAAAGGCTAGTAATTATATTAGAAATATTAGATATATCCTTACCATAAGGATTTTTCGCGAGAATGGCTTCCTCGACCTCCAGGGGTTCGGATTCACCTTCCTTATTAACCGCTTTGACACGGAACTTATATTTCTTTTTGGGCGTTAGACCAGAAAACGTGAAAACCTTTTCGTTGGGACCAGTTTCTCCGGCTGGAATCCATCGTCCAGTATCCAGATCCATCTTTTCCAATACATAACCCGTGATATCGGTACCGCCATTATCCTCTGGCGTATCCCACTTGACTTTAACGTGATCGGAGCGGACTTCCTCTACTTTGAGAGGTCCTTGTGGAATCGACGGTTTGTCTGTAAAAAAAATAATGAATTTACACTATGTAACACAGCTGTTTCAATTAATATTTTACAATTAAAAAATCAGACGATAAAATAAATATTTCTTTGTCAATAAATTTAAATTAACTGTTTCACTCTCAAATTTTTAATTTCTTTTAATTAACTAATAAAACTACTTTATTTTACTGATATAATATATATTACTTATTATACATTTCAAATTTATTTTCATTTAAGCAAGAAAAATGTTAGTTAAGAAAATTGTTTAGTTTAAAAAAAGTTTTGCGAAGGTATTAAAAGATGATTGATATGTAGACTTACCAAGAACAACAACGTCAGCCATGCTCTCGCAGGTGCCGGAACTGTTCGTCAATACTAATTTATATTTTCCGGAATCAGGTCTGGTGGTCTTCCTAACTGTCAATACAGTATTTCTCTCATATTTTTCGATCGTAACTCTTTCGGCCGTATCTTGGACTATCTCCTTCTGGCCCAAGAACCAGTGCACCTCTGGTTCCGGCTCGCCAGCATACTTGATATCGTACTTGATGACTTGACCCTTTTTAACGACTAAGTTTGTAAGACCGTCACCGATGATGTACGGTTTAACAAATCGGCACTTGGCAATAATTGGTTTAGTGGCGTCAGACGGTTCACCAGGACCTGCCTTGTTTACTGCTCGTATCCTGAACTCGTACTGCGTGCCTTCTTTGAGACCATCAATAGTCGCCTGAGTCACGTCGCCCTCAATCTCCTTGCCCGTTACCCATTCTTTGCCGAACTTCTCCTTGTATTCAATTATATAGCCAGTAATCGGTGCACCACCGTCATTTTCGGGCTTTGTCCATGTCAGATCAGCATGATCCTTATCCCAATCGGTTACGTCGACATTCGTGGGTTTGCCTGGTTCGTCTAAAAAATACAAGGATATCTTGATTTACTTCTTTTATTCTAATTTATATTTACGAATTACTAAATTAAAATCCAAATAATGGTGCATGAGATTAAATTGTTATAATTAACTTTTACATCTAAAATTATTTTGTTATTTTCTTTAATTTTCTTTTTGAAAAGATAGAAATTTTATATCATAGAAAATCATATTAATTTCTACATAAAAATATCAATTAATTTGCGATAAAATTTACCCCATGGATCCTTGGCTAAGACTGGCTTGCCAAACATTGCCGGTTCGCTGGAACCGAGCTTATTCATTGCTCGTATGCGGAACTTGTATTCCTTCTTTGCAATTAGATCTTCGACTTTATAGACACATTTTTCACCTGGCATGATTTCACCCACGTTATCCCATTGAGCTTTCAAGCTCAGATCTAGACGTTCGATAACATATTTCGTAATGGGTGTGCCTCCATCATCCTTCGACGGTTTAAAGGACACAACGCAGGAATTTTGGAAAATCTCATTAACTTCAACGTCATACGGTGGAGATGGAACATCTAAAAAATAGTTTGTAAATAAGAAAAAATATTTTAGACATTATTTTATGTACAAAAATTTTTTTTATAAAAATACAAACCTTGCATAACAATATTGACATCCTTTACTTCTTCACCCTGGTTATTACCAATCTTAATCTGGTAGATACCAGACGATTCGCGTTGAGGTTTCTTGATCCTATACGTGATTTTATCCTCGCCAACGACAATTTCAACGTCCTTGAGAGGTAGAGGTTTGCCATCTTTCATCAGTTTCGCTTCCACTTGACTCTGCTTGGTGCCATCAACTGCAAATTTCAAAAATAAATTTTTCATTTTACGATACATTTTGAAGTTGTTAAATTTTACCACATTATATACAAGATGTGAATTCTTACTTTTAAAAGGCACGACAAAGACTAACGGAGCGCTGCAGGGTCCTTCAACTTTGTCAGGGAAGTCAACGATCGGCTTGCTTTCGCCCTTTTTCACGGTGAGCTTGCAACTACTCGTTAGCTGACCACTCTCGCACATGATTTCACCATCGTCCGTCATTTCCAATTTATTGAAGACCAACTGGTGCTTACCGCCGCCCAAATTCTTAATTTCCACTCTCTCATTAGGCTCGATCTTTTCGCCGTTGAAGTAGAATACAGCTGGCGCGGTCTGATCTTGAAGTTCAACATCTAGCACTAGTTTTTCTCTCTCAATCGCGATGGTATCCTTCAACTTCTTATTGAAGCGATTGGCATCTATAATTTACGAGAAGGTACATAACTATATGATCTTTTTTGTTAAGAGCAATCAAAGCTCAAAAGAATGTTATATTTACAGTTGATCACAATTTCAGCTTCGGTCTTGTCTGCGTTACTCACGCAAGAGTAGAGTCCGGCATCGGTGACTTTACAATCTTTAATAATAAGCTTTCGTTTCCTGCCTTCTTCCTTGATTTGCACTCTAGCACAGAAATTATTTATTAAAAAAATGTTTTTAAAATAAAAAGTTACGTAAAAAAAAAATACCTTTTATCAGGCGTGATTGCTTGGTCACCCTTGAACCATTGGACTTCACCCGCAGCATCATCCAATTCGCAAAGTAATGTCAAGGTTTCCTTTTCTACCAACTGCTGATGTTTCAACACTTTAACGAACTTATAAGGATATTCTAAAGAAAAGAAAATATTAAATTTTATATACATTTAAAATGTTAGACAAAGTTGTATAATAAATAAAATATTGTAATTAAAAAAAAATTTGTTGTAATTTTTTTAAAATAATACTTACCGACTATAGTGAGTATGGTTTCGGTCTTGTCCGTCTGTTTGTTTATTTTGCAAGTGTATTCATCACTATCTTCAAGAGTTGCGCTCCTGATCGTCAATCGGCACACGCCAGACATATCTTTGGAAATACTATATTGGTCTCCATCCTAAAAAATAACATTAAAAATTTTTTAATACTGTAACGTTATAAATATTAAATATTTATTTGAATTTTCATCGTAATGAATTACCTCGAGTTTTGTTTTGCCTTTGTACCAGGCAACTTGAGCTATATTAGAACTAACTGTACATTCCATGTAAGCTTCATGCTTTGTAAAGCCGCTGGTTTTTTTCGATAATGGTTTTATGAAGGTATACGTTGGATCAGGTTCTAAAATTAAAGGAAATTCAAAATATAAAATTTGTTTAGTGTAAAAATTTGATTCTCAGAAAGAAGATTTGTTCAAACTATGTTATATACCATCTACATTGAGGAAAGCTGTGTTGGATACGCCAGCAATTTCGATCGTATATTTTCCAGTGTCTTCGACTTTGGGTCCAGTAATAATGAGCTGATAGCAATCCTCCTCGTTTTTAAATTTGTACTTCGCCGATGGGAATAATTCCTACATAAACAACAAATTATTACTATTATTATTTATTAAATGATTATTATTAACAGTCAATTACTTCAATCTTTAATCTGTTTTTCTAATTATAGAATGTATGACAAAATGTAATATATCTTATTAATTACTCAACTCTTTTATAGCTCGAAAAAATAAAAAATATATAATATAGATAGTGATTTATATATTTCTGAAGGAATACTTACATCCTTTCGGAAGAACCATTTCGGCTTGCAGTTCGGTTTCGAAAAGTTCGCTTCGAAGACAACTTTCTTATCTTTGCCTTCCTTGGCATACTGATCTACCAGTGGCTTCAGGAAACTTTCTTGTTTCTGCGAAAAAGATACCACCAATCAATCATAACTCATATTCGGAGATTTAATGAAGAAATCCAGTAGTAGTATTGTTCAACATCGACAGCAATCGCTTTGCCAGGCTACAAAAAAAGTAGGAAAAATCGGCGAAAAACTTGAAAAATAGCGTCACTGCCTCTCCGTACGAGCAGAAGAACGGAGGGCGAGGACGAAAAAAGGCACGAAGACGAAGTTTCTAGAAGGGATTCTAGAAGGAGATTCTAGAGAAAAAATTTGCAAAAAGTTCAGTCGATCGTTCGTCGACAGAATTGACTTGATAAGCTTGTCTTCAAGCCTATGACTTATCATGCTTATTATTGTGATCATGCGTATGATCTAGTGTTAAACGGTTTTGAGGAAAAAAGAGCATGTTGGTTTCTTTAAAAAAAGATTATAAAAATACCTGCTACTGTTTGAGCAAAATGCGCGAGAAAATAGTTGCTGGAGAATGCTTTGCTTATGATACATTCAAGAGACGACACCGATGAAGAAAAATAATATTTTATGCAAAGGAATCCAACTGTGAATATTTTTGCTAATGTTTTAATCAGTCTCATTTTAATCAAAAAATATTAATAGATTTTTGAAAAAGTTAATTCTATTAAATAAATAATGTTTAATATTAAATTTTGCTCATCTTGCAAATAAATATATATATATATGTATAAATTTAAATAAACTTAAAATATTGTATTTGATATTCTAATTTAATTTTATTTAATTAAAGTTAAAAAATCTTTCAATAAAAAATATATTAAATATATAGCTTATAATTTTATTTATTAATAATAATTTAATTAAAAAGAGAAAATAATTTTTTCCTATTATGTAAATTAGCATTTTTTTTAATAAGAAAAACTTATCACAGATTAGAATCCCTGCAAACAAATTCTAAACAGAATATTCTCTCATAAAAAAAGAGAAGAATTAGAAAGTTATATTATAGAATATAGGTAGATATTCAGTCAGAAGATGTAACAGAAACGACGTAACTTTAATTTTAAGTAATTAATAAAATAGAATTTATTAATCGAAGGCAGAAGAAATAGTAGTAGAATTTATAAAACGAGATAATTAATTTATATAAGAGAATCGTCCAGAGAAAGAGCGAGCTCATAAACGAATCAAAGAAAGAAGATAGGCAGATCGTCGAGTTTCGGAGACCGTTGAGGCAACAGTGACAGACACAACAGATAGTCAATATCACATGAAATTATTGATGGGAAGTTCGATTTATAGAGAATCGATCCAACCTCCGTCTTGATGAAGTGATGCAGAGTTGGCCAGTCGGGTATTAATTCGGCCAGAGACGGCCTACGCGATCCACTAGTCTAGAAACAAGAAAAGGCATATCCGCGATCATAGTATCTTTTCGAAATACGTCGTATTGATCTTGCCCGCTGATCGCTTTCAGCGGAGAGCTATGATGGGCTTTTATTTCCAATTTAACTGTTATCGCTAACTTTATTTATAAGTTTCGTTGTTTCAAATTTTCTAAATCAATTGTCGCTACTTGTCTTTGTGAGTTATGCATGGTTAACTGTGATTACAATCATTAAATAGTTTTAATACTTCTAACAATTGTTATAAGCTATGTTAAGTTGTTACAGAATATTATCAAAAATACTACATTAAATATTACTAACTAAATATAATATGTAATATCACAAATGTTAAATTATTTGAAAATATCATAAATACTTCACTTTAATTAATAATTTTACAACTTTTTAAAATAAATGTGAGTTATATAGCTCAACAGAATAAATAAGTATAGTGATAAGGAATATTATTTGAATTTTATATACATATATTTTGTTTAAATGAGGTTTGTCTGTTTGGCTATTGATCTTCAATTCAAAAACATCCATGAAATCGTGTGCATGCGTGAAGATAAGCATATGTAACAATAAGGTAATTTTTAATTAAACCAAGCGTAAGAAACATGGATTTAATTGCAATTACAGTTATAACCTCGATTATCCGTCCTAATATGAATCAGATTAAAGAAGTTGGATAATCGAGGTTTTTTATTTTCTGTTAAAAAAAACATGTTTTAGATAAAAATGAGACAATTAAGACAATGTTAAATAATCGGGTTACCAAATAATCGAGATTTTATTATAATTTTAAATTAACTTGTATAATGCCCGTATCAAATCAGAGAGTGATTAAGATTAAGATTAAAATTGAAATTTAATTTAATCAATCAAAGTAAAATTTTCACTAAACTTGGTTTTTTTCTTCTGATTCCTTAAATTCAATTTCAATTTCAATATTAATCTGTAGTCTGATAAAAGCGCGCTTGTGTATAAGAATTTATACATATAAAGTTATAAACTGTATATAATAATTAAGAGCGAATAAGAGCATAGCGTTAGTGTTGGTGAATTTCTTCAAGTTTTACAAAATAACAAATTTAGAAAATTAGCTAAATTTGTTATTTCACGCGATGTATTAGGTGTACAAAAAAGTTCTGAGCTTTTTTTTGTAAAATTCAATCTTTATTCGTATGTAATCGTACGGAAATGGCTTGCTGCGTAACGCCAAGCTGTTCTGCAAGCTCCTTTTCAGTTTGCGCAGAGTTTATATCCAGCAGTGCTTGCAATTCGTCCGTTTCAATCTTTTCAGGGCGTCCAGCACGCGATTCATCTTTAAGACTGAAATCTCCTTGGCGAAACTTTTGATACCATCTTTTACATGTAGCATGACTTTACAGCGTTCTTTCCATATGCAGCACAAATCATTGCAGCATTTTTCTTCAGATGAAACGCGAAGTGGATGGAAAATCGAATATGCTCTTTTGTTATTGCCATCGTGAACACTACTGATTTTTGAGTTTATGTGCATCAAACGCCAAACCGTATGGCATTTTAGAAGGCCAAATGTTAACGCTTTAAAACCGCAAAATGGAAGGAAGATATATAAAATTTAAATTGTTATTTCGGTTGTATGAAATCTAAAACTCAGAACTTTTTTGTACACCTAATATTAAAGTAGTAATTTGAAGAAATTCACTTCTTATTACTGTGCGTATCAACACTAAGGCTGTACTTTCATTCGCCCTTAATTACTAGAGTTTATAGTTTTGAATATATTTGGAGAGTTCGTAAGGAGATTATGTCTGAATTAGTAAAAAAAAATACATATAAATATCAACAAATTTACATTTGCTCTTCTGTTTTATAGTTTTTTAAAATTTTTATAGATTATTTAAAGCGCAGGCCAAAGGAATCTCTCAATCGTAAATAGTCGCAAGAATTTTAAAATATTCTTTAAAAAAGTTACAGATTTTAATATCAGGAGACGCGGTAGTATCTCCGGCCATGTTCGAAAAACTACTAATTAATTTAAGTTAATTATATATCAAATTTTTGTGAAATTGATCAAAACAAATTAAATGTATGTAGATATAAAATTCTTGCGAATAACTGACTGGCTTTCGTTTTTCACGATTTATTCGGTTTACATCCTTAGTCGGATTGATGTAACACCTGCCTTAATAAAACAAAGAGATCAGTCACAGTTACTTTAAACACCTACATCGCGATCTCTTTGCTATGTTACAACAACAGAATTTTTATCTCGCTCAAAGGATCAAGAAAATCCAAAAACACGGGGGTATTCTGGCAAATTATGATGACAAAGTACTGAAATGTAAAAAGTCTTGTAGGAAAGTCTTCTCTTACCATTTTCCTTAATTCATTCAATTTTGAACATTTTTTATGCAATATGTAGGTAATCATGTGTTGTGATATTCAAGTTTAATTAACCAGAATACCGCGCAGGAAATAGAAGCCTTGCGGGGCGGTTCTGCTTTCTGTTTTATGGCTCTTTGGAATTTAACGCAAGGATGCATTTCTTTAAGACTTTTTTTCGCGAACCTTCTCCTTGGCGTGTGTCGCTAGTTTTGGCCAGTCGACGATTACCTCCTGCAAACTTGGCCTGCGCTGAATGTCGAAGATATCCTACATGCCCGGCATACACACATCATAGTTAATGCCACTCATATACAATTAGCCATTAGCGCGCGATTAAAGAACTCTGATTTAAAGAAATATCTAATAAAAATAAAAAATCTTTGAAGAAAGATGAATGAATTGTAGAATTTAATTAATTTTTTCGATTTTATAGTGCACTTTTTGTCATCGTCTATCTTATATGTATTTAATCGTTAAACATTTTTTATTTATAACTGTGAAATCCATTATATTAGAGTTCTTATCTTTTTCTACGTTACTTCTACATATTTAGAGATAATGCTTTTCTTCTAATATATAGGGAGTGTCACATGCAATGGGTTTGGAATAGTGCCAATTTCATCACACGTTATCGATAGTTTACATTTTTATTTCTATTAGCGATTTTCAGTTACGTTAATTATCGTACTTATTTGTTAATAGAGAAATATGTAATAAATATGGACATATACTATACAGCTACCCCTCAGTGCGCGTATCGTGGTTGTACCCAGAGAGAGAGAGAGAGAGAGGAGTTTGGGAGATTTACTCTCATTGAAATTCTTCTTATTTTAATTATAAAAAATATAACTTTACTTTTAATTAAAAATTTTCTTGTATGTTACAAATAAAATGTTTTTTTCTTGGTTACGATTGTATAAGTAATTTCTGGAACTTTTACGGTTTTATTAAAGTATCTTATGTATGATGTAAGGAAAATTCTCGGATATGTCCATTGTATGATAAAATAATCTTTACAATGTAATTTCGATGCATTTTAGAAAAGGCAAATATTAATTTTGAATTATTAATTCTTTGTAGTAAAATTAAACGTATCAATCTAGAATTTAAATAATTGAACAACTTAAAGGCACAAAAGAGGGATAGATGTAATTTAAAGTGCAGCATCAACTCTAAACCATACATAAAAGTGCATATGTTAAAAATGAAAAAAGAAAGTTATGTCGCTTGCGCGATAAAGTGTGTGGAGGCAAGGAAGAAGTATAGAGAACTTATATAGCAAAATTTAGACCGCGAGAGTTCAAATGTTCTGATAACAGTCAGAAAAAAAGATCAACTATTCTGTCCCACTTTCTAGAGATATTGTAAAATTATATTTATTTTCATTATTTTAATTTGTTAATATTTTAAAAAATAAAGGCAGATTGTAGATCTTAATGTTTCATCAACGTTTTGAAATCTTAATCGTTATACTGTCATCGTCACTATGATTTATTATGTGAATCCCTCGGAAAAAGACCTTGAGCCAGCTCCAGTTAGTTTCACCCTTCTTGTCGAGAGAAATTCGAAAGATTTCCACACCCGCTGACAAGATGACTATTTCCTCGCCGTCTTGAAACCAGCCCGATCCGTGCTGTTCGCTTCTTAGCGACTAGGAGACAGAGATAGACAAAGAAGAGAAGAAAAAGACAAAGAAAGGAACAGACAGAAAATGCGTTCTAAAATCTTGAAGATGTACGTATTTTCAAAATTTTCTACTAAGTTGTCGTTAGCTATGCTAAATAAAAAATTACTTAATGTATCTAATTATTTATTCAAAATATTCAGTAATATTATTTTAAATAAAAAAATTGAAACATCATTTTTATTTTATTTTAATTTGTCTGTAAGTAAATAAAAGAGTATCTTGGCTGTTGTAATATAATTGTCAAATAAAAGTAAAAACAAAAAAAGAATTTCGAATTAAAATATGGATTTATAAAGTAAATAGTTCAGGCGACGTTAAATTTATATTACATATCTAACATTGTGTCACCTGTTCGCATTAGACACCATCAGGCTGTTAATGGCGTGCTGAAATCGCATTCACACATCTCCATTATGTATTACAACATTACATCAATGGCGATTGTAAATGTGATGCTTAACCAATTTTATTGAAAATATTACGCGTAGTATATACATATGTATGTATATAATACATCTCTCGAATTAAACTTATTTTAAAGTTGAAGATATATCCACATTTAAGTTAAATAATATCCAAATAAATTTTAGTTTAGTTTTGCTAAACAATTAACTTATTAATTTAATTTTTTACATAGTTTCCATTTGCACATGTATGTGTATATATAGAATTAAACGTACCTTTTCCACTTTTTTCAATGCCGGCATGGGCTTCTCGACTTCCTTCAAATCTACTTTTTCTTGCTCAGCTTCTTCTCGAGCCCATTTTTGGTATTTCCGCTTCTTCAACATAGTACGGAAGTCCATGCCACTGGCGTCTATCATTCATCCAACAAATTAAAATTAAAAATAGCAAAGCTGTATTATCAGTAATAATTAACTTATCATTAATATATATTATAAATATTAGATGAGCTGAGACAAAGACTGCGGCTACATATTGTTGCCCTCTTCATTGTACAACGGGTGGGCAGCAGGGTGAGGGCATTACAATATAAACTATAAAATTAATTCGACTCACCGGAAACGTAGAGCTGCATCTCGGCGGAATCCTCGCCATGGATGTTGCTCACGACAATCTTGTAAGTGCCCTCATCGTTGGGCTTCGTCTTCCTCATGCAGAGGGTGATCGTGTTGGTCTCCGAGTCAGTGAGGAATTTGAAGCGGCCACCCTCGATGATCTCGGTAATACCCTTGTAGAATTTGAAAGTTGGCGCGGGCGTGCCTTCCACCGCGACAGTGAGATACGCCGTCGAGTCTGTTAAAAGAATTCCACTAGAATTAACTTAGTTAAAACAAGAGTATAATATTAAAAACTATTTTGTAAGACATTTATTATTGCTACAATCACATATATCAATTTAAAAAAAATTTATTTCTGTAATGGAAGTTTTCTACGATTGATGAGTAAAATGCATTACCTTCGACGGCGGAGTACGATTCCTGAACATCGACGATCTGGGGTGGTCCAGCTGGTCCAACATCTCGCAGAGGTGTACTAGGTAAATTGATCTTATTCTCCAGGTCCGCCACGCTGGGTCTTCTGATGTCCGCTGTGCTCGGACGACGACGCTGTGCCATTCAAATGAAAACGTGAGCAAATTTATACACACTATGTCATTGTATTTAACATAGACATTGAAAAGCTTTTGAATAAAAGCGAGAATATTTAAAGCATAACGCGCGACGACTTCCGCCGATCATGTAAATTTGAGTTCGATGATAAATCAATGTAATCAAATAAACACAAATTAAAAGCTGTGTAATTAATAAATAATATATCCCTAATAATAAAAAACAAGAGTTTTTATTATAAATATTTACTTATTTTTTACAGATGCATCTTATTTTTTTCGTGACGATATCGCAAAATACAATAAAAAATTAATTTTATTATTTTTTAAATTATTTATTGCAAAAAACAGAAGTTAACAAAAAAAAGCAAAGAAATGGAAGTCGCCGTTATCGCTTGAAAAATCTGCAGCGCTCATGCGATTTCGCATATTTTATACATTTTGATTATTACTTACGTTTATTTACATTTAATCATTGTGAGTTAACGTTATTTACATTGAAAATTAATTTACATTATTAATCAGCGTTACGTTTCACGCGTTAGTGACTGTGTGTTAATTACTAAATCAAGTGAGTTTCAATAATATTAGTGACAATGCTAAAACACATCCTTTTTTCAGAATACATTGATTAGCAAGATGGGATCAATAAACATGGATAGATTCACATGATGATTTTCATAGATTCTTCAATCGTGACTAGCCATTACGATTTCAAGGTTTTCTTATTTAATTTTAACAACTGTTTTGTAACACATTTATAATTTTTAACAAATTATTTTAGAAATTTTGTATAATCAACTCACTTCTATTTCTGCATGTTTGTCTTCATTTGCACGCAAAGAAAATATGTCAAATAATTTATGATAAATAATTAACCGAATCCCTTGAGTGTAAGAATCCCTTGAGTACGCATTGTTGGACAAAGGAAATATTATAGAGAAAGGGAATATATTAATCGGATGAATAAGAGCTTGATGAAAGCAGGAAAACATAAAATTTTAATATTTTTAAATACATTTGTAAGGCCATTCTAGTAACAGAAAAATGATACTAAAGTCAGTTTGTAGATTTTTACATCATTCCTGCTTTCAATTTTAGAAACAAATGAGAAATGTTCGTCCAATGATGAAAATGTGTTCTTATATAATAATGAGAATATGAGATATTCGTACGTCGATATTCGTGCGGCAAAATGTATTTGCCATGATATGTGAATCGCAAAGCAAAAGTGCGAATCACAAGTTACACGTTGGATGAGAATTTAAAGAAATATAATAGTTAATCATTATTGACATAAAATAGTCGTCGGTTAAAAAACTTTTAGAGACGGGATTAAATTGCACAAGAAGGGACAACTTTACAGAATGCAAAAAAAATAAAGATGCATATTCAAAATAAAGTACTATTTTGTTTTCTGTAATTATAATAAATTACAATACAATATTAGATTTAATTTTTGCAATGTTATGTTATAATTATTATATTATTATAAATATTATATCATGTTATTCCTACTAGTGCAATCAAATTTTTTTTGTGATAATCTACGATAAGGCTACCATAAGATAAGGACATCATTAGCGATATTCTTAGCCTGTCCTTGCAAACCGTCATTGTTAGAATACTAAAATACATTAAGAAAATTAATAAAAGGTACAGAGAGTTGGGGAAGAGAATGAAACATGGATTCGACATGATGTGAATGACATGAATGACTAATTTTATGCTTTGGCGATGAAATGATTGCTTACTCCGTGAACCAATCTGATCCTCGTCAATTAAATTGCCGTTCGAATATTCGTCTAATGAGAAAATCAGTTATCAGGATTATTTACAAAGAGACACATTACGATATCTACACGATATGCACAAATACGATGCCGTATGTATATTTTGAATCGGAATAATAAGATAAAAGTTGTTTAATTTTTCTTTTGAAAAAGCGACATCGTATTTGTGACGATGAAAGAATGAGAATATTTCGATCGAAATCTATTTAACATATAGTGTGAGCACGATAAAAATTTACACCTATACATAAAATTCTACATAAATAAGTTATTTCACACATATATATTTTTGACATATAGAAGTAAACTGCTCAGTTTCAAATCTATCGCAGCGATATGCAAAATTGAAGAGAATCAGGCTCTTCAACGTTAATCTTTTAATAAAAGAGTAAATTATTATGAAGATTTACTGTAAGATATATTTACCACGATTTATAAATAAATTTGCATAAATAATGAATTATTTTTAGCAACAAAAGAGAAAGAACAAAAAATAATTTTATTGTTAGATATATTAAATTAAGATATTTTTATAAAAAAATAACTTCACGGAATAAATTCTTAAACGTTTTATTTTATACGCAGAGTGTACTATAGACACTAAAATAAAGTAGCACTACTGCGACAAATCTGATACTGAGTTGTACTGCAACTACTTAATTTTTAATGGTGGTAGATTTTACATAAACAATTTTTTCAAAACACAACGAAATCAATAAAAAAATATGTCAGCAATTTCGCTTTTTTCATGGATTATTTATATTGTAAATTAACTCCAATTTCTTACCACCATTACAATTGCATCTAAATTGCATCTATGCAGCCGCATAAAATGTACAGGTGTATCCGCTCGAACTAATAAGCAGAATTTCCGCAGCGCGACTGCAATGAGCTTCTTCAGGTTTTACGCATTGAATCAATTCATGTTTTCAATTTTAATTACAAAGTACATCGCACATAAATCGATGCAATGCAAAAAATCACCGTCTGCAAGCGCATTTCATCGGCATTGACTATTCGCGAAAAAGTGCTCTTTGCAAAATATTTATAGAACATACAGGTTTATAGAATAACATCCAAAAACTTTGTTTATATGAAATTAATTAGTTTGATTAATTTCTTCTTAACAAAAATGTGAAGAAAAATCGATAGATCTTTGCGTAAGAAAACTTATTCATTTTCTGACCACAACTTAATTTTGATAAATTTTTTATTTAAAATGAATAATAGTTTTACCAAAAATTCCATTAATAAATAATTATCTCTCTATGAATCTCGATCAACTTTTAAATCTGTCACTTATTGTAGACTTTTGGAGGCTATTCAAAACCATCCTGTATAAAATGTTTCTAAATTTTAAGCACGCAATAAATAAGAAAATAATATCAAGATAACGTGTATATAAACGTATATGTAAACGTATGTACAAAATAATATAAAAATATACATATGCGTACACGCACAACAGAGATATTGTGCTAACCTCTTTTTCTGGCAGCGCGCCTAGTCGGCCGGGCTTAGTCTGTGTGTGGTGCGTGAAAAAATAAAAGATGAGATAGATACAGAAGTAGAAGCATAAAAGAGGAGGGCAGAGAGAGATTAGAATTCTTGATTTCTGAGGGGTGCTCCACAAGAAGTGGACTCTTATCTTGGGAGTGTGCTCGATATAATAGGGGGAGGAAATGATTGATCATATATTTCGATGTAAGAGAAAAGAAAACTCAAATTATTGATCAGTAAATTATATGCCAATATGCTCTCACGAACATATAATATTAAATGATATTAAACCGATATTAAAAATTACGGTATTAAACCGCAGTGGTTGAGAAAATAGCAGCTAGCGTGTGTTTACAGTAGCGGCAGCAGCAGCAGCAGCAACTTCAAAAACCTCAGTTAAAAACATGTCGTAAAATTATGTTTTTTTATTATTATTAATATCATCATCGTCATATGTCGTCATTATTGTTATTAATATTATTATTGCCGTCCCGTGGTAACGCGTGGCGTTGTTTTTGCCTCTCTCATCGGGGACTTTCCTCACCAAGTACGTTTTTAGTTATCGTTTTAGTTATTGGGCTTTTATTATTTTGTCTTTCTGTAGGCAAACAAGAAAATGAAACTCGACGCTTCAAAATCATTAGGGCTTGAGGGGGGAGGGCGAAAAATATAAAGATCTAAAAAGGGTTTGGTGTCCGTAAGACAAAAAAAGAAAAAAGACAGGACAATACATGATACGAAAGATTGCTGGTATAGTACTTTGAGCAGGTAAGCTTTGTGTTATAGCGAACACAAATCTCACCTTTGTTTCCAAAACCTCACCGGGCCGTAACTTTCCCAACTGCAAAAATCACAGAGACGAATACATGAGGGTCAAGTGACTGCTCGTCATCGTAGAAATATTCCTTTCGTCGCTTTTGTTAACACGGATTTTTGTTAACGTTTCCCGACAGATTTACACAGAATGGACATTAAAATATCTTTTTCTCTTTTACAGAAACAATTGACAAAAAGCGATGATTCCGAAAATGGAAATAAACAAAAATGCTCCTGCGTGCTGGCTTCGCTAATTGACTCTTCTTGCCGGATTAAAATGGAGCTGCTTTTTTTATTATTTGCTTGGGACAGACACTTGGTAAGGATACGGATGAATAAAAATCGGGGGTTGAAGGAACAAGGCAGAATCGCGGTAGACGAACACAAACGGGGGCTGTTCGAGGCTCGCCTTACCGACGTTGCGACGGCTTGTGCGTTTGCATTTCTGTGCGGTGCATTGCTAGACAGAACAGTGCGATTCGGCGGTGCTCGTTGTCAGCTAATACGTCAGTGAGTTTACGTGCAACCAGATTGCATGTGATCGTATGAAAGAGACGGATCTTTTAAAGAGCTAATCGCTATTCGTAAGAATAATCTGAAAACTGCGTGTCGATTATCTCAAACCTGTCATATCGGATTCTTCAATATATTCATATAAATTTCATGACAACACTTCGAACTATAACTTCATTGCGATTTTATACATATAATCGCTGTTTCGTGAATTTATTAAAACTTTTTAATATAATTATTATTAATTTTTTACAATATGAAGGTTCAAGATAATCTAAAGAGAAGAAAGGGCGCATCAGTGGATAGTTATAATATCGCAACATTATTCTAATAAAATTATTATTCACACACTCGTAAATGCTTTCAATATACTGCTGCTCAAAACTTTATCATAAGAGAGAGAGAATTCAGAAGAGATTTTTAGAACAACCCAGACGGACTTAGCAAATTCGTTCGAGTCTAATCAAATCCTTGGCATTTTCACTTTTACACGACAAACTGTTTGAATTTATTAGACCGGTGAGCGAGATAATAATTTAAATTTGATAATAATACACATTTAACTGACAGAAATGAAGTAACAAAAGTAATTTACACCCGGACATTGAAGTTTGATCGTCATACATGATTCACACGTCTTGTCGCGCTGTTCGGAACATTTATTAGCGTTGATATCTATCTACAACGGCATAGTGCTTGCCAAGATCACCCAGTGATTTATCGTGTAAAGATGTAAAAGCCAGGAAAGACTTAGAACCTTGTATACGAGTGATTAACTGATAACACGCACACGGACAAGCCCTGACTTCTTTCGCTTCTCTTATCTCGCATTATCAATTAATATTATTGTTATTATTATTATTATTGTCGTCAGAGTATGCATATCGGTTGCAACAGTTCCGTGCCAAGTGCAAAAATGCATTCGCTATTTACTCGCTTATCAGATCTTGGATTACGTATGTCGAAACATCGAGAGGCACGTGCGAGATGTTGTTCGAATATCCTTTATTTTACTAAATCAAGAGCAACAAGATCTTTTATATTATCTATTATTGTTTATTAATTTACCAAAATGTCTATTAAGAAACTGTGTTTAAAAAAGAGATACGTTTCTTAAAAATAAAGGATGCTGGAACTTTTCCAAAGTTTGCACGTCATCGTCGGGAATTTAACTGTTTGCTCTCGACGTGAAATTTATTTATTAATCGAATAATCAAACCATTATCGTCATAAAGTGTGCATGATTAAATTCAGGACGACACGTGCTATAAAGTACGACCACAATAAGTAAATAGTAGTAAAAGGAGCAGGCAAGATCGAGCAAAGATAATCGTAAAGATTTTTCGCTATTAGTAATAAAATTGCATTAAATAGTTCATTAAGAAATTATACGTTAAACTTTTTTTATTTCTTTTCCGTGTAGTGAAGATTCTCTTTGCACGATACTCCGGTGAGTGTGTACGAAAGAATGTGTGAGAAAAGTAAGTAGAAGTGCATTTGGTAGTCGAGTAAGGTTGCAGACGAGACATTCGCTTCCGCGTTTTTCTCTCAGTGATTTATCTCACCTTGCGCTCGTCCACCACCTCGCCGGGACGAAGCTTCCTATGCTCCTATGGACCAAATCTCTATTAACCACTACTGCGAGGTAAAGGTGGTTGTATTGTGCACGTGTGTGTTTGTGTTTGCGTGTATACACAATGAATAATGCTGCAACATGTTTACATTGTATAACATGATCGTTTCGATCAACCGGCATTTTGTCCTACCACCCTGTTAGACATATCAAAATGCATTCCCCGCTTTATCTTTATCTTGAAACCGAACCAAGTCTCGCGAAATTGACTAAAATTAATTACATCAACGCAAGTTATGCGTCTGCTTAATTTTAGTAACTTTAATTAATGCTTTTCTGCTATTTTCATTCCTGAAAGTTGCTCTAGTTATAAGCAGTTAAGCTAAAAATATTTATTAAGATGTAACGCTAATTATAATACAGAAAGATTATTTTAAGATCAAATGTGAGATCTTATCTTGAAATAACGAAATATCCGATGCAAGTTTTACGGGGAACGCCTTCGATCGTCTTGCTCTCAGCTGAGGTATAATCCACATAATCGGTAATTATCCGTGTTTCTTCGACGTTCTTCTTCAGGAAGCGCCCGTTCTTCAGACTCTTGCTTTTCGCAAGTCGATATTACCAATCTTGGACGTCCTCGATATTACGCATCATAGGTGGACTTTCCATTCTCTTTTTCTTTTTGGAAGAAATGCCTTTGCTGACGACTGGAGATAACGGACGGGAAGGAAAGAAAGGAATATGCTTCAGAAGCTGGTAAACTCTGGATCTTTCACTGATGAGGGGTTTCTAATCTAAATCTCACGCCTTGCTGACACTAAACACGACGTGCGTCACTCGACGAGTTCGTCGTCGGAGATTCACGACGCGTATCTATCACGAGTACGACATCACTAAGACCATCACTGAACTTACACTATAAAACTCAAAAAAAAGCTACAAAAAATCCTAGGATCAACCAGCAGTAGCCAGTCTACCTATCTTGTTCGTCGAGTATCATACGCGACTCGTTAATCATCTACCTAATAGGACTCGTGCAAGTACTTTGCACTTTGAAATATATGTTCAATATAACTTATTATATTGTAATAGAGAGAAAATGGAAACTTATCATTTTACACATTAAATAAATTTAAAAAATTTGTACTATAAATACATGTATGTAGATTATTAATTCAATAATAATATTAAAAAAAAATAAACATATTACAATTAATTTAATATATGTACTTATTTATTTTAATATGTGATATTTTATATTTAATGTAATATAATTTTCTCTCTATATTATTTAAAAAATACATACATTCTTTTTTTTATATTTTATATGTACATTCAAGAGTGCAAAGTACGTTGTATCACCCTCTTTGCTTTATTAACGTATAATAGAATTAGTATATATAAATAATAAAAGATAAAAATGAAAGTAATTTTCTTAAAATGCAATTATAATTGTATGTATAAAAGGAGACATCAAGTCATAAATCCATCAAACCTTAATGAGGCCTTAATATTGATTTGTGATTTAATATTCTATTAAAATAGATTCATCGCGTCACAGTCATTTATTTCTGAACTTTCAAGCTAATTGGAACAATGTTTGGCGATTTGACAAGGTTCTTCCAATAAATTAACAAGATCAGTAATGATGTGTTTCCTTAGACACCTATAAGATTTTTATAAAGCAAACTTGGTGATCTCTTAGGAGCACATAAGAATGCAACAAAGTTTCAAGCTCACGAAATTCTATTTGTGCAATAACTTGAGAATTAAATTAACTAATGCTTCAATATATTCAAATCAATAATACATAAATTCGAGTTATGTTTGCAAATAATATAATTTATATTATGTTCTATATATTATAATTTATGAATTAAAATTAAATTAACTTTTCTATTTAAAAAAGTTAAATTAGAATATCTTTAGAATGCCATTCTACTTTTCTCTGTTACATTCTTCAGCTCGGTCCTCTATAAGGTAGTCTATAAATTTTCACGATCACACAATACATTCCGTAACATACCTCGTCACTGATGATCAAACTGGGCCTACGACCCAATTCCTCGGGCGGTATGAGCGAACCACGTCGACTGCCAGCACCGCTTCCGGGTGCTAAAGAGCCCTTTCTGCTACCGACCGGTGTCACGTCTTTGATAACTTCGATCTTGGGTGTTTCGGGCGCTTTAATTTCCGGTAACTTCGGCTATTACGATTAAAATTGATCGATTAATTGCACTTGTTTCATACCGAGTCCATTTAGAAGATTAAGTAAAAAAATTGAAGATCTTTTCAATTTTGTTAATTAATTTAGTGTTCCATGGTACACTAATTACACGTAAACATAATTTAACCTTTTCTCTTTGATTTGAAATTTAGTCCCATACTGATCCCATCAATAAATAATTTCTAAATGACTCTATATACGTTTTTTTCATGACATAATTAAAAAGGGGATAAAATTTAAAATTAATTAAAAGAGCTACCAGTCAAAACGATATTACTTAATTTAAAAAATAGAAATAAAAATAAAAATTTTTAATATTACGTATGGACATTTCGACACCGATCGGGTCATTACCAATTTTATGCAAATATATGTTGGTTTGATAAAAACATAATATATAAATATATATAGTCCAATAGATCGAAAAATATCAAATTTATAAATATATATATATAAAGTTACTTTTTTCCGTATACCATATATTTGAATGTAATTATATTTTATAAGATTTAGACATTTATAAATTGATTGAAGTTAAACAGAATCAAGATTACGTTAACCAATTCTTGATAACTTTCAGCTTAATTCACAAATGCACTTTAATGACTCGTTTATTAATAAAAAGTCATTACTTGATATCGACCCAAAACGTTGACTTTATCAGCCGAGATATCGAAGTATTAAGTTAATACGGTCGCGCACGTAGGGCGATTACGACTGACCCTGCAATTCGAATACGAGTTGCTATTGGGTCAGTCGTAATAAGGCCGAAAATAGCGATCGACGTTTTCCCCATCCTCGTTCACGACGACGACGACGACGGTAAAGACGAGAAACCGATTTCAAGGGGATGATATACGAGCATTTATTCGCTAAAATAGTTCTGCCGCGGACGCGGCGTTGCACAGAAGGCATTCATCGTTTGCCAAGGCAAGATTCGACCTAGCTGATTATTACCCCTTTTCATTTCTTCTCCTGCCCCATTCCCTATCCATTCGCAACGCGTTAATTGCGATTGTGCAGGTGGCACGAGGATATTTATGACGCGGGGGCACTTCGTTCTCGACAAGAACAGAAAATACAAGGTCGAAATATCATTTTGCCGTATATATAGTTTTGAAAGAGATTGCTGTAATTCCTAATTTAAAGGATTATTAACTGCACTGTCACACACGGATTGCTTATTTCGAAAATAATTCGGTTTTACAAACTGAAATAAATGTAAGTATGAAATTAATATAAACTGAGCAATAAAAAAATAAGAGCATTCTTGGATATATCTCGAATAATTCTACACAATTTAATAAAACATGAGATATAATTATTACATTTAATAAAATTAAAAGGAGTAATAAAGCATATAAATAAATAAAATAATAAAACTATCTGTATTGTACCACATAAAATTTTATGATCTCTTCGTTATTGGTATCTGTGCACGGAACATCCTGCATAGATATTGTATTTTTAGATACATATGGTAAGATATATGGTACTTTAAAAATTTTACCGTCCTTCCAAGCTTACAAAACGAGTGTGACGTGAGTTTATACCTCGGCTATAATTAAACCGTCCGTAAATCGGGCGTAAAAATTAATTATCCTGAACCGCGCGTATCGCGAAGCTCGATCAAAACATCCTCGAGCAACGTGGCAATTGCAAAATTAGCAAAATTCCTCTTGCGAGTTTGGCAATTTAGCAAATTCATATTTTACCTTCATTATTAATAAGCGATGATTGCTTACCTTAGAATCGAATTTCTGCATGGCAACATGAAAACAAAAAACACATAATTAATCAAAATTTTGATTGACATTCAAATGAACTTATTAATATATCTTCTTTATAAGTTTCTTTACAACTTTTTCATAAACTAATCATAAAATATATTTTTCAATGTATGTAACTTTATTAATGTTTAAATTATTTAGCATATATTTTTTATTATACCTTAACATATTGATTATAAAATATTGTTCATGTACAGAGATTTTAACTACTTCCTTACCTGTGTGACTGGTCTCTCAAGTTTCGTTTTATCGCGAGGAACAAACTCGCCAAAATCAAATTCTTGAGGTTTCTCCAGGACAGCCCTTTCATAATCCGGAATCTCCGGGAGCTCGTAACTAACGTCCTTCGCTGCCTTCGCTGCCTTTACCTTCTTCACATCGACCTTTTCCATCTTCTCTGTTTTCTGCATTACAAATGATAAATGATATGAAATCGAAGAAAAATTTGTCGGAAAATAAATATTATTTATATCAGACATGGTGCTTGGTTTAATCCCTGCACAAATCGCTGAGCAAGGAAAAATGAGTATCACAGATAACCTTGTGAGAGCAAAGATGTGTGAAGACAGAGGAGATTAAAAGAAGAAACATTAATCTCTTGAGTTCTTAAGAGATTTTTATGCGTCTTATTAACGTCATTATTAACATAAATAGAATTAATGTAAATCACATAAAAGTTAGAATATATCGAAGAAAGATGAGTGCAACGTAGAGCTTAGAAATGTGCCGCAATGTATAAATATATACAGAATATAAATATTATTTAGAGAGAAGATAAGTTTGGAGAGAAAACGTTTAATTAATTTTACTTGTATTAAGAACACATAGTAAGAGAAATATTTTTATGTACATACATATAGAGAAATAGGAATGCGCACAAGTATATTTAGGCGCTGTTTTATAATTAGAAAAAAAATTAAAACTGCTGTAAATTGAAGTTTAGAAAGAAAGTTTAAAGACACAGAGAGTGCGAGACATATAGAGACTGCAACAAGATCGTGTTGATCTCTTTAGCAGGGCTACCTTAAGTTCCACCCCGCCATTTTCAGCCTGCTGAGGCTGTTTCGAATCCTTCGTAACTGGTTTAAGTTGAATCCCCTGAAAGCTTTCGGATTTTACTTCCTGTTTTGGTGGTAAACGAGATTTCGGTTTGGTCTCGATGGCATTCTTCGGCTGTATTAATATATCGTTGTTAGGAGAAAAGCTTTATGTGAAATAAATATGTTCGCTCTGAGGTATATTAAAACTTAATCTTAAAAAGCAAGGGATGCACAAAACTAAGTTAATCTAATATACTATAACATTAATTCAACGATACAAATTAAATCTTGTAATAGTAAATATTTCGGAATATTAAATCAAAAACTTTCTTCTAATACTAATTTCTTAACTAATTTCGTTATTGTTTCTACATCTACTAAGGGTGGTATATTGGACATTACTTTAAAATAAACAAATATCTCTCTCGTTAAATGTGATGACAGGAATAAAATTACCTTAAGCTCGACTTTTTCTTGAGTTTTCTTTTCCTCTTCAAGTTGCTGAAATAAATAAAAATGGACATAAGCGGCATGTATACATTTACATCTTTTTTTCTATAATTGTATAAAACATTTTAGAAATATAAATCATAGAGGAAAAAAAATAAAAAAATTTTTTTTAAATAATATTAAATTAAACTAAGACTTTAAAAAATGCGTGTGTAAAATTATTAGAGACTACATTAATTTTTTTATTGTGAAAATTATAATTACCTTAACGGCCTTCAAACCTTTCTTAGTGATCTCTTCTTCTTTCTGCAAATATAAATATAAAAATTAAACTCTTCATAGATAACATTTCTAACCTGTTTTATATAAATATAAATATTGTGTGTATATTGTACGTGTATGTGTTTTATCAAGTATACCTTTGGTTCAACTGGTTTAGGTGTAAGTTTCGTTGCAGGTTCCTCTTTCTACAAACAGCAAAATTTGCTTTAATTCGACGCTCTGTGTATTTCTTCTTAATTAACTTAATTTTTATGAAATTAATTTTTTATGTTATATTTTATTATATTAATTTCTGAATATTTAAATATTTTGTTATGAATTAATGTGTGCAAAATGAAAAATCTTTTAGAATAGTACGCATAATGTACTGCTTTTGTTAATATTTATTATGTATTTTAGTAGAAACCCTAACAATAAACTGTATTAGAATATTATTAATTATTATGTAGTTTAAAATCTTAATTGCAATATGAAAATGTTGAACAATTTTTGAGAGATTTATATTTTTTTAATTAGTACATTCGCAATTTTTAATATTTTTATATTTAAAGCTTTTAAATTTTTCATGTTTCTAAAATTTTCAGAGTAAAAATTTTAGTTTTAATGTAATAAGCACTTGATGTACCTTTAATTCGTTTGGTTTAGATTTAGTCGTCGGCGTTTCCTAAAAATGTATGAGTATTTAATAACATTTTAATATTTAACATTGTATCTTATATGTTTCTGTTAACTTGCACAAGTGTGTTTTGTTTACGTTAACTTCCCCTGGTTTAGTCTTAGACTTTTCTTCAATCTAAAAGTGTTTTTACAATTATAATATTTATAGTATGAGTAAATATGCATAAGAACTTGAAAAGTATAATTATGAAGAAATGATTGTGAAAATATACCATATTCCTTGTTTTCTCCTTTAAGTATGGAATTATTTCTGTTTAATTTTTATGTAAAATTACAATTGCAAAAATTATACTTCAAGCTAAATTTTTTACCTAATTATATTCTATTTTTTTTTGTTAATCTTTCGAATGTATGCTGTGTATGGTGTTGTCAAAACAATGCACAAATGTACGTGTACCTTTATTTCTTCCTCTTTAATTTTAGCTTTTGGTTCCTCCTAAAAGTGTATATGTAAAATATAACATTGTTCATTTTTCTCGTTATCGCTATAATATAGCTTCACCAATTTTAAAAGCCTATATAATTATTGAACGTAGCAATATTACGTTTTATGTACCTTTATTTCGCTCGATTTAGACTTCGCCTTTGGCGCTTCCTAAAATGTATAATTTGTTTAAATAATGTCTTCTAAAAGTGTCATATTTATTTACTATAATCTATGCATTTTTCTCTTTTGTAAACAAACTCGACTTGCGTAAGTATGTATTGCTGCAAAATAATGCAGATCTAAATATACCTTTACTTCCTCTTTAGGTTTAGCTTTCGGTTCTTCCTAAAAGTGCAAGTGTAAATTTAAGTTTTAATGTCTTATTTTTCATATCAATAAATTGTAATATCATTGAACCGATTATTAAAATAATAAAATGTGTTATAAAAAGTGTTTTGTGTACCTTTGTTTCATCTGGTTTGGACTTGACTTCCTAAAAGTGTACGAGTAGTATTTAATAATGTTCATCATTTATTATCCATTTTTATTTTATTGTATTTTCTTTCTCTATTGTGCAAGTGCATATTGTCACAAGATATGTATAGTGTATGTAAGTATACCTTTACTTCCTCTGCTTTAGGTTTGGCTTTCGGTTCCACCTAAAAATGTTCCAAGTATGTTTGAATGTAGAAAATATCTCAAGTTATACATTTACGGTATATGGTTAATACAGCTGGTGCTCATTTTTCAAGTGTGGCGTGATATTAGAAAGGAGCAATACGTTTTATAAATTATGCTTTAATTGTCGCTGTGTATATACATATCTCACATCAGTGTTAATCGTGAGCGAAGAAATTGTTATGTATAGAAATACGATAAGAGTGTAATTGTTTTATATACCTTCGCCTCTCCCGGTTTAGGTTTGACTTCCTCCTAAAATGTAGTAATAGTATTTTTTAAATTCTCGTATTTTTTAAATATAAATTTAATATTTTATATTTTATCCCACGCGCGATGGCTGAATGTAATTATAATATAAGGAAAGGAAAATGTTTATTTAAAATACTTATATTAATTAAAAATTAATCATATGTTGAAAATTTTTGTATGTGCTTTGATTATATTTTTTTTTAGTACCTTCGGAGTTTCTGGTTTTCCGGGAGTTTTCGGTTTTGTGGTCGGTTCCTCTTTCTAAAAAGTATTTACACACTGTGAGATTTATATGTTGTAAAAGTGTATTCCTGTTTAAAAATGTGTAAACTGTGTAAAAGATATATAAATAGTAAATAGATATATTGTAATTAATAAATATATATAAATATATTTATTATTCTACTCTATTTTACAACATAATATTATATAAACAAATATGCATATTAATGTTAGTGACAAATAAAAGCATGTAGCGCAATGCAGAAATTAATAATAAATATTTATAATTAATGTGCATATAAATAATCATACTGATTTGTTTTCTATACGGAGATATAAAATTCGTCTTCCATATCTTTATAATAGTGATATGTATAATATATTGTTAACGTAAAATTATGTACCTTAGATTCATCCGCGGATTTAGGTTTTTTCTTCTTTGGTTTCAATACTGGTTCTTGATCCTAGATAATATTTATAATCAACGAAATTATAGATATTTAAGAGCAAGAAGATGAAAAGTATCAAGAGAAGAAGGAAACGGTTATCACAAAAAGATGACAAGAGAAAATGCTTCGTAACAATAGTTAACTCAAAGAAAAGTATGAATGCTTTATTTGTGAAGAGACGCACTAGACAGCTTTAAAGATTATAGCATAGAGAAAATGAAGAATTTTTTGCATCAAAAATTACAAGGAGAATGAAGAGTTATGCGACCAGAAGATTATGCGACCAGACAAGTGGGAAGTCAATGATTAGCACTGACAAAAAATGAAGATCGTTTTTCTATACCTCGGATTTTTCCGTTGACTTAGTCGATGATTTACGTCTAGTGGGCACCTTTTTCTACAATTGCAAATATATAATAAAACCGAAAGAAAATAACAGTGTGCCGAGTGTGTAAAGTACAATTTTCATATTATACCTTGGGCACATCTTCCTTATCAAGTGTTGAGTTAATATCTTTGCTCTAAAATAAAAAAATTAAAAAAATTACATTATCCAAATTTATTGTGTATTGTGTATTGTGTGTATTTGAACGCATGCGATTGTATGTGTGAGATTGAATGTACCTTGATCTCTTTAGATTTGATCTCACTTTTTTCGTGTTCGGGTATATCGCCCTCCTAAAAACATTGAAGGATAAGATCTGTTCGAAAAGTTTATTTTATTTTTTTTTAGTTCTTTCGTACACGGATAAATAAATTGAAATTGTTTTATATAGATGTCAAATATAATACATAATATATAATATATTTTAAATATAATTAATTTAAATATTAAAAATGTATAAAAATATCCGAATATTAAAAATTAACGCATTTTTTGATTAATATAATTGTAGGTTTAAGTGTCTCAATTTTTTATATGGTGAATGTATGAATATGGAATATGTATACCCTAAATTCTCTCTCTTTGGGTTTGCTGTCCTTGAGTTTGGATGCAGGTTTAGGCGCGGGTGTGAATGCAAGTTCCTGCGAGATTTTAAAAACCGTCATAATACCGAATAAGGTATGTAATTTTCGAATAATGTAAATATGAGTACTTGTAAATTTAATAATGTGTACCTCTATTTTAACTCCATTTTTATACGGCGCATCTTTGAAAACTTTCGAATCCTAAAATATGTCGATAAATTACAATCTGCTCTGTAAACAAAAGTAAAAATAAATGCAGTATTAATTGCAATTTGCATATACCTCCAATTTTCTGATAGGTTTAGGCGCATCGTCCTCAATTCTCGAAGCCCAGATATCCTACAGTCGCGTATTATTTTATTATAATACATTAATCGGAAGTACAACACGAGTGCTTCATTTTTAACAAAATATCAATTACTAAAAATCGCCGAACATTGGTGTTCAATAATTTTATATTCAAGTTACTATCCATTTTACGGAAAAACTAAAAGAGATAAAAATTGTTTATTTTCTTTTGATAAAATTCTGCGAATTTTTTCAGAATTTTTGTTATTGTATTTTCTCATGTTCGTAAAAATAGTTAGAAATAACAAAATGCAATACTAAAAAATTAATAAAAAATTTTTAGAGCTCTATAAGAAGAAAATAATTTTTGTTTTTTAGTGCTTTTTTGTAGAGTTGATAATACTTGAATAAAAAATTGTTGAAAACCAATATTCGGCAATTTTTAATAATTATCTCGTTAACTATTGTGAAAATTGTTAAATGATACAGTACTTTTCTTCTCAGTTTAATTCACTCTATCTGCCCACGAGCATTATCGGCAGAATTATCAAACACCCGCGTATAATAAAAAAAATATAATACATTCTGTATATGTATTCTATACCTCAATATCATCGTCGGATTCATGCGTTTGCGGTTTAACAGTAGATAATAAAACATCCTAAAAGAATTAAAAAAATAAATAATTGTTTCTTCAATATATATATATATATATATTATATTTTGAGTGCATGTAATATTAATTTCTATTTCTATCTAACAATTTATTTTACCGCACAAATGAATATGTATGTGTGTATATGCATGTGTGGTGTACCTTATTGGTTGTAATAGAATTTTGTTCGATGGATTTCGGTGGATTTGCCCATACATCCTAAAATGATACCATACATCAATTTAAAAATAAATAAAATAATCAGTTTTGTTATCTATATATATGTGTATGTACATATGATATGTCTACTATAAATATTTTGTAACTAACGTAATTATAGTGCGTGTAGTAAATTTTGACATCTCGGTTTAGTGGAAGTTTGTGTGATGTGTTTGTAGTGTACGCGGTATCCTAAAATAACAGCATACTTTACCAAGCTATTTTATGTAAGTGTAAAACACGAAAGTGTGAGTTGTGTGAAGTGAAGTGAAAAGAAGCAATATGTATTCATATATTCGTATACCTCATCATGTACAACGCGTTTATCGTCGTGTCCTTTCGATTTTGGCATCAATTTGTCCTAAAATTTCAAGAATTATTTTAATGTATCCTACTAAATGTTTTTTAGATAAAGAAGAGATAATTTTGTGTTTCGCGTATTATATTTTTATTTATATAATTTTAACTAAAATAAATTTTGTTGTCTTTTATCAATTTACTATCATTATCATTATCCTTTCATCAAAAGATTTAAATAAATAAAACTAAATTATTTTTTAAATTATATTATAATTAGATATAATAAAAATTATCTTGTTGCATATATTATTATCTACCTTATCATTTGGCTTGGATTTGATATCACATACTTTCGTTTTGTTTAAAGCTATCTTATCTCCTTCAGTTTGATCGTCAGGTTTAGACACGCGTCTTTTATCCTTAATTATTTTTGGTGTATCCTATAATAATAATTGTTTAAAATAATGTTCGCTATTTTATAAATTTTTTACTTAAATATGTGCGAAGTGTCACATAGTGTATTCCTTTCGTTTGGATGAAATATCCTGTCAGCATTAAAAAAATATGTAAAATATGATGTGTAAAAGTATAATCTGCAATGTGTAACGTAAGTGTACCTCGATTTCTTCATTAGATTGACGACGAGATGGTTTATCTTTAGGTTTCGATAAATTCTAAAACAATATATAATTTAAAAAAATATTATATATTCTTTGTTTTAAATAAGTTCACACTAATTTATTATTTAATTATTATAATATACTAATTTGCAAACTTTGCCGTATTTTAATATTTTAGAATCAATATCATGTTTTTTCAGTTTGGTCCAAATATTCTACACAGTATTAATATTTTGATGATAAAATTTACTTCTCTAAAAATGTATTATACATAATGTAAGTGTTGTATGAAACTATATGTCATATACCTTAATTTTTTCGTCGGATTTGTGTGGACGTATTTTGTGAATCGATGTATCGTGTGTTTTATCACTCTTTTCTGACACTTCGTCAGATTCTTGTATTTTAGTCGTAGGTTCATCATGTAAAAGTGGTTTGTCTTTAGATTCATCAGGTTTGTGTGGTTGTATTTTACTTGTAAATGTATCATGTAAAAGAGAAAGCGTCTTGTCTTTTGGCATGTCCTAAAATATTATTTAACATATTATTACTATTTTCTTTGTTCTTACTCGATTTCATTGTATATGTGTGGTAATTAATTATACATATTTGCGTACTTCAGATTTCTTTGAATCGACATTGCGTTCTTTCGGTTCAATCGACGTATTCTAGAAAAATATTATTTCGAAAATGTGTATAATGTCTTCATAAATTATGCGATAATATATGTTGTATATGTACCTCAATTTTTTTTTGTGAATGTATTTTGTATATAGGCTTGTCACGAGAAAATGCATTATCTTTTGAAACGTCGTCGGATTTATGCGGAAGTGTTTTACTTATAGGTGTATCACGCAAATGTGTTTTCTCTTTTGGAACATCCTAAAATAACATTAAAAATTTTACAGTCTCTTCTAAAAAGATTCTACTATATTCATGAATAATATTTATAATTTAGATACATATACGCATACTTTTTCGTGCTTTTTGGGAAAGTCGTTATCGCGTTCTTTACTCGCCCAAATGTCCTAAAAACGTTAAAGATATGTTAAAGATATATAATTTGTGTCTTTGGAATAATACTATATACCTCAATTTCATCGTCTGATTTTTGCGACTGTATTTTATATGTTGGTGTGTCACGAGAAAATGTTTTATCATTTGAATTATCGTCAGATTTACGCAATAGTACTTTACACGTAGGTTTTTTTGTATCATGTGGTTCTTTCTTTTTTAAAATATCCTAAAATAACATATTTAAAATTTTAGTTTTTTAAAGAAATTTGAGCTGTTCGCGAATAATTTCTGTAAATGTATTTACATACATCGTTATGTTTTTTGGTGTCAGTATCATGTTCTTTATTCGCCGAAATATCCTAAAATTAATAATGATTTACAGATATGCTATTATGTGCCTAGCCACTTTACAATAAATATTCTATACCTCAATCTCATTATCAGATTTCTGTGGATGTGTTTTATTTGCAATGGTGTCATGTGGTTTATCTTTTGATTTGTCATCTGACTTTTGACGTGTTGTATCTGCGGGTATATGAGGTTTGTGTGTCTGATCTGTTGACATATTCTAAAATTAAAAAATATTATGTTTGAAAAATATTATATTCTTTCAAACTAAAATGTATTGAGCTTTTATGTAGCATATTTGCATACTCTGTATGGCATAGATTCATTATCACGTTCTCCCGGATTGTGAATACTCCAAGCATCCTAAAATGAATATCGTTGATAAAATACGTCACTTCCGTAAACCGTTTAGTTATTATTATAACATCATTTGTGTGTGTGAGTGTGTGTGCGTGCGTGTGTAAGTGTGTGTGTATGTACAATATAATTGTTTATATACCTCACGTTCGTCATCCGAGTCGCGAACGCGTGGCTTAATTGCAGTTTCAACTGCAACCTAAAAAATTTACTTTTGTATAATCATTATTGCAAATATTATAAAAATTCTTTTTTCGATTTTGAAAGAACTACATATTATTAAATACAGTCAATATGTAGTGCGAGATATGTACCTTCGGTTTATGGTCAATTTTATGAAGGAAGGAAGTTACTCTGGACTTCGTAGTTTCCTACAACGATTCATATGTCTATATCGAATGCTTAAGACGCGTAAACATAACAATAAATGCGTCACATACCTCATAATGTCTTATCGATTTACTATCGCGCTCTGTCGGCTTAGACGACCAAACGTCCTAAAATTAAATGTAATGTGTATGTTGACCTAATGGACGATATACGATTGAGAGTAGTAGGTATTGTGTTTCTATATTATATACCTGAATTTCTTCGTCGAATTTGTGTATGTGTGGCTTGATCTTCGTTGTGAGTGTGTTCTAAAAAAAATAGTTGTTTTGTTACAAAATACAATTTTAAAAAATGGTATAAAATAAAATGAACTAATTAGAGTAATTAAAATGTGTAAGTGTACCTCATCTTCTATCATTCGCGAAATGGCTCTTGGCCTAAATACAGATACATCCTGCAATAATGCGAGATAAAATGTTCTCGTATGTTTTTTCGTATAGAGTCTACGATCATAACGAACCTCAATATTTACCGCATAAAATAAAAAAAATCAGTACTACCTATTATTTTTGACCCTATACTATATTCGTAATTAAATTCTTGTTAATTGTAAATTTCACAATAAACATAATTTTTAAATTAAATGTATTTTAAATTAAAATTATGATTTCTCTTTTTATTATAAAATTATTTGCACATTGAAAGCTTTAAAAGTCAAATCTACGGATAAAACTATTTTCAAAGGCTAAATATTTATACATAGAAAAAAATCAATTATATAATTTGTATTAACACAAGCTGATTTTGCCAAACAATAAAATTATGTCAAGCTATTAATCTAATACAAAATAATTTATTTCTATAAAATATTAAGGCTCCTTCTCATGTCAAGAGAGAAGGTAACAGTTCACTCAAATATACTTACTTTGTTCTAAAAATTATAATAGTAACAACTAATCAATTAATCAACAACAAAATATTTTGTTAATAACATATTAGATAAATAATTAAAAACAATAATATATTCTTTCTTACCTTTTCGGTCGTTTTCTTCTTTTCTATGATAGAAGATCGTCTGCTTTCTACTTTGACTTCTTCTTCGGTCTAAGATATAAAATATAAATTAAAATTCGATTGACATAAGAAATATCTAATTTATAATAATTAATATTCTTGAACAAAATTTTTACTTTAAAGACTAAAACAATATCTTTAAAGTTATCATAATATTAACTATTTTTTATAATAATAAAATATCTTAATTTATATTATTTTATTCTAGTCCATGAGTTTAAATATTTTTTTCTTAAAATATCAATTTTGTAAAATTTATTGTAATTGTTCTTGGCAGTGTCTGTGTGTGAAATGTATATATGTACGTGTACCTTCTGTATAGAAAGACGTCGTGGTGTCGCAGTGTCATCATCTATTATCTATAGGATAAAAGCAAAAAATAAAAAAATAATTTGTATTTTACGCAGTAACTGCATCTAATGATGCAAAATAAAATTACCAGACTCTTAACTCTTAAGTAGGTATTTACGAAATTTAGTATCATGATATTTTATATACCTTTTCATCAGTCTTGACGATCGAACTACGACGACTCTCTGTCTTAAGTTCTTCTACCTGAAATATAAGGTATTTATAAAATCTATTTTCCTAATTGATTAAAAAAAACATAATACATCAATACTCTTACCCTACTGATTGATTCCTTGCGAGTCACCGTTTTCTCAGGCTTAGGCGTAGTTTCTCGAGATACCTAAATATAAATAATATTAGATATATAACATATGTTCAAATTAATTTATAATAAATACATAGAATAATAATATACTATACGATTGGTAAAATAAGATACAAAAATAAAACAACTGCGTACCTCTTTAGATTCGGGTTCTTTCTTTTTTATAATCTTTTTCTAAAAAGAATTAAAAGATTTAAAGATAAAAAAGATCAAAAAATAAATTATTGAAAAAATATAAATTAAATTTATAGGGATAATTGCACTCACCTTTTCTTCTTCTTTTTTGTCTTCAATTTTCTCGGCAGGTTTCTTCTATAAATTGAAAGAAAAATAGAAATGTGAAGTTAAGTATAAATTAAATAAATTATTGTTTGTTATATTGTTTTAATGACAATATTTTATATACATTTTTAATAAAAAATATATTTTACATTATTCTTACCTTAATAGATTTCCTTTCTTCAACATTATTCACGATGTCTTCGTCCTTCTACATATAAGTAAAAAAAAATAAAATAATATTAGCAAAATACTTAATTCCTCTATTTAATGTAGAATACACAATAATCAGAGATACGGTAGTTACATCATATTAAAGTATTTAAGATAAAGTTCACATTTAATCAACAATAAGTATCTCTGTCCGTTTTTTTTACAAAATTTTTCATGCACAAACACACATAATATAAACACACAAAAAAAGCCAAGCAAACAAAAATTTGTATAATGATAAATAATTGAACTTTAAAGCAGTGTTGGATTTGAAGGAACCAGCTTCTGGGACTTGGAAAGAAATATGGCATGTGAAAAAGTTCTTTTGGAAAAATTGCGTCTTTTATGGAAAGAAAAATAAATATCAAGGCGATTGTTTAAGCGTGTGCAAAAGATCGTTCGAAGAAACTTATCGGATAAGCTGAGATTAAGTGAATGCTGCGAAAGATAAAACAATATAAGTAAATCTATTTAGCGCAAAAATGGTGAATATTAATCGCATAGAGACAATGATGCAAGATGAGATCTCATATCAAAAGAAAACTAAAAATAATTTATTGCGGTTTATAAATATGTTGTTTCGCAGATTGGCCAAAATATTTCGCCAAAGCATCAATCTTCAGAGCACAGTGGTATTTATTCAAGCGGATCAAAGTTGCTTTTCGAGCGCATACGTTACCGAAATCCGATTTTTGATATTTTATGCTCACCTGTAAGATCTCCATTTTCTGAAACAGAATGCATCAAGACCTTTATTTTTTTATGTATTTTAAATATTAAATTTGGAATTATCTTTTAAAACGTGTAATTAAAGTTGTTTACATATAATTTATCAATTATATACTACATAATATTATTTATAGGAAACGTGCGTTTAAACTTTTATACATATACTGCGAAATAAACTTTTATATATATTATATATTAGAACACACAATACACACATGAACCTCAAAGGTATGACAGAAACGATAAGGAAAATGCAAACAAAAATAACAATGGATAAAATAAAAAGATACAAATGATAAACAATTATTATCACGATACGACATGTTTTGATCACAGTGTATGTAGTGTTTGCTTTTGTAAAAAGTTGCACTTGCTGTTTCTCTTAAAAAATTACATCTCGTACCTTCCCAACCCCTGGTTTGTCGATACCATTCGGTTTCAAATCAGGCTTATCCTTAAAAATAACAAGAAAGAAAATGTTTTATCTTACGAAAGCATAAGTTTTACAATTTACGAAAGAAGAGAAGTTTAATTAGCAGAATAATTACATGTAAAAAATTATAAAATTAGTAATACAAAATAATTATTTTATTTTATATATAAACAAAATCACTCATTTCATCTTATAAAAAATAATATATTGTTGATAAATTATTTTATCAAATATTTATAAATATAATAATTTAATATAAATTAATGAAAGATGGAATCTATGCATTAGCAGAGAGAAATCAGATTTCTTTCTATTATTAGTGTTGATATATGTTTGTGTTTGTGTGTACCTCGACGCGAGAAATGATTTCAGAATCCGATTCCTCGAGAATGGCTTCTGTGCTGATAATGCTGGATTCAATTACACTCACCTCCTCTTCCTCCACCTCATATTCTTCTGATCCTTCACCATCGTCGCTCCAAACTGAACTCATTACCTTTTATATCGAGATATATAAGTTTTCAACGATATGCCAATTTACGCGTCGAGGAATCGAAAGAGTGATCATTTTTGCAAATTATATAGATGTTTTTAATAGAGTATTTATAATACTTTTACTTACACGACAATCAATCGCGAATAATACACATTTATATAAAACTAAAATTCTTTTTTTTTCTTTTTTTAAAATATTATCTCTCTTTTTACATAATAATTATTATTTTTAGATAATTGTAAGTATATAAAAAAACAAACTGTAACTGCAAAACGATAATCTTCCTATATCTGTATCAAGTTGTATGTGATCAGTGTAAGAGTATCTTGTTAATCACAAGAGGTATAATGAAAGGAATAAGAAAGCAACAGATAATAAATGAAAATTAAATAAAATTTTAATTAATCTTTTCATCTCAGCGGTTACCTTCTTTTCTTCCTTCTTTTCCTCCTTCTTTTCTTCGACCTTCTTCTCTACCTTCTTTTCTTCTTTCTTTTCCTCCTCTTTCTTCTCCTCTTTTTTCTCGACCTTCTTTTTCTTCTTCTCTTCCTCCTCTTCCTTTTTCTTTTCCTCTTTCTTCTGTAATTTAATGAGGGAATCGCATGCAACATTGGAGAACACATACGAATAATTTTCGAATTTATCAAGAGAACAATGATTTAGTTACATTACATATTCATTAGTTTAGTTCTACATCTGACAATTTAACATGCCAATTTTTCAACGAGGTATTTTAATCAGTTTATATTTATTTGCGATACATTTTAAATTCAGTTAAAAAAAGGGGTAATAATTACAATATAAATTCAATATGTCAATTTTTCACGAAAATGCAAATTTCTTGCAACATATTGAAATATAAATTTATACAAACACAAAGAAAGTGACTAAAAAACTTGCATCCACATATTAATAAACAAATTTATGGTCGAAAGTTATTAGATAAAATTGCTTACGTTGACGACGAGACGAGCCGACGACTCATCTTGACCGTATTCATTGCTCACGGTGACTTTATACGTTCCTGAAAATTCTACCGATGCCGAAGTAATGGTCAATTTCATATCCAGACCATTAAAAGAAATCATAATATCCTTTGACGCTTTGATGGTCGTGGAATCTCTGTAATTATATTATAATTATTATTGCAACAATTATAAAAATTTGAATAATTTGTTGAAACAGTTTATAACATAGGAAAAAGCAGTGATAATAAAATGCACAATTGTCAGCTATCAAATATTAGACAAATTATTTCAGATAATGCTGACTGTTCGCATTCTTTTATTTTTCTAAAATTTCTTTTTATATTTTTATAAAATGAAATATAATATTATATTTTTGTACCATAAAATTGGCAAATTATTTAAAACTTTTTTTTATATTAAATACGTACTTATACCACGTGATAGTGACTTTACGATCTTGCGTTGCGAGAATGGCGACGAGCTCAACCGTTTTACCTTCCTCGACGGTCTAAAAATAATAAACAGCACATAATTATAATGAAGGGGACTTTATTTTAACAATATTATCTTTTTATCAAAATAAATGTTAAATGAAAAAAGCGCTGTACTTTAACTTTTGAGTACCAGTAAGAATACTTACAATTGATTTGAGGCCGGTAACAATTTTTGGTTTTTCTCCTTGATCTGGAATTTCCGTTACTTCCACTACTTGTGATGTGGCTTCGCCTTTATCATTACGTGCCACTAATTTATACGTGCCTTTATCTGTCGTCGACATTTGTTCGATTTCGAGTTTTATAGAGAATTCACCCTATTTGAAAAAATCAATTAAATAAAATGTACAAAATAATTTTTTAAATATGTTAAATACATATTACATATAAATTTAATTATGTCGTCATAATGTATACTGAATAATATTCAACTGTTTTCTAGTTAAAAACAATATCAGTAATAACAAATCTTTCTAAAAAAATCTTTCATTTTTATTTATTTTGTTAAACTTACTTATTTTGTTAAATTTTAAACTTTAAATAAATTTCTTTCTAATTGTTTTAATATAAGTTAGTGTTGATAATAATAAACATCGATAAATGTATTGGACAATTTTACTGTATAAAACTCACATCTTTAACTTGTTCGACATGCAACTTGTGTCTATTGTCCTCTTTAACGGCCTGATTTTCTTTGAACCATGTACAGTCAGGCGCAAATTGGGAAAGAACATGACATTCAATTACGACTGTCTTCTTTTTAATAATCTTTACTACCTTTGGCTTTTCCTTAATTACAGGTACAACTAAAATTACAATAAAAAAAATAATTAATACTTTAATCTAATTTCAAATTTATGTTTGACGGTCATTGTTTTTAGCAATTGAAACAGAAGTTGAATTATTTTTTTTAAATGTAAATCAATTATTTCATATTTAAAAAATTAATTAAACTATTATCATATACCGAATAATATTTAATATAAAAAAATGCGAACTTACTTTCGACATTTAGCGTAAGATTGGCATTGAGTTCACCAAGATCATTCTTAATGTTGCACTTGTACAGTCCAGAATCTTCCGGTCCAGGATCGTTCAGAGTCAATTTGATATAATAAATGTCCTCCTTTTCTGAAACGATGCTGATTGAGATCTTCGACGACTCCTTCACCACTTTACCGGCATGAGTCCACACGATCTGTGGCTTTGGTTTCGCCTTTATTTTGCAATCCATGACGACGAGCTTGCCCTTATTTTGCGACTGTTATTTTGCAATCCATGACGACGAGCTTGCCCTTATTTTGCGACTGTATCCGCGGCTTCTCTACAAACGTCGGCCCGTCTCCCTCTGGTTCCGGTTCCGCCTCGATATTCAAATTCAGATTAGCATTGCTTTCACCGTATTCATTCTTCACATTACACCTGTAAGTGCCACCATCCGGTGCCGATGGGTCCTGTTATCAGAAAACAATTTAAAAAATTTAAGATTTAAAAATTAAATATTAATAAAATATAATCTGTGCAATATATTCTGTTGATACTATTCACATAAATAATTAAAACAAATTTTAATTATTGCAACAAAATTAAAGAAAATTAATTAAAACTATTATCTCTTTTAACAAAGTAGAGAATTACCTTTATTTCCATGACAAGTTCATATATGTCTTCCTCAACCGTTTTGGACTTGATCGAGATCTTCGACGACTCTTTGACCACATTGGTACCGCGAAACCACGTGACCTCTGGCTTGGGATTCGCTTTGCACTTACACTTCATAGTGATCAGCGTACCGGTCTCGTTCGGGATAATGCGAGGTTTCTCAATGAAGGATGGAGCGCAACCCGCGCCCTCCTCTGCATCTTGGAAAGATCCAAGGTTAGATGTCGTCGATAAAGATACGAGAGACGCTTCCAGATGCGTATTAGGACACCGGAAACGCGATCTCTGCCGCGGTCGCGGGTCACCGATGACCCGCGACCGCGACTTTTAATGACGTTAGTTATGTTGTTGGCAGCTGAATAAGTTATGAAGCGAAGATACAGAGACTTCACGATTGGTTAGCAGTAGCGCGACTGTGCTTACCTGATGAAATGACCTATTAAATGATCGCGTTCGTTTACTGAGAAAAATTGCTTGTACATCTTTACCGCGCGTTTATGCATTGTGCACGAAGGAGATACGGGGAAAATCGACAGGACTCATTATGGACGAAGTAGACGAAAAGGATTTCATTGTCCGAGCAATTTACAATTTTAAACAAACATAAAAAACAAAAAGATATAATTAACTTTGAAATTAATATTGTATATATAAAATAAAAAATGTATCTATGTAAAATATATAATACTTAACTGTGTGTATATATGTAATGTTGCTGATTTTAATTTTTTAAAGTTTATTTGTAACTTACGATAAAGAGAACTCATAACTTTTTTATAATTTTTGAAATGCATTGATGATAAATATTTCGGAATGCCAATGAAAGTCCTATCGTACGCTTCGAAAGGGACTTGCCTTGGAAGTTGAGGGAGATGTTGGCATTACTCTCGCCGAAGTTGTTAAAGGCGTTGCAACGGTAATTCCCACCGTCAGCCTTGGTCGGATTCGAGATCTCGAGAGTCAGCAGATACGTGTCCTTGCCGGTTGCCTTGCGTGACATCTTCACGCGTTTACTGTCGGTAATCGTTTTCTGACCTTGGTACCATGTTATGTCCGGCACCGGATGTGCCTCCAGAATGCACTCCATGATGAGTAAATCGCCCTCCTGACGGATCGTTGGTTTCTTCGGAAAACGCGGCGGCTTACCGTCCGGTATTCTGCGTAAATCGACACGTCAAACGAAAAATTCGTCGATTCGCTGATTGAACGCAGAATCTAAAGTTATCTCGGTGGATAACGTTGTTTCTCACCTGCTGGCCACGCGATATTTCCGAAAACGCAACGCAACGTTATAAAAAAATATTACCATAAAAGTCGCAGGCTCTCTCTTTTGATCAAATCTTAATTTATCAAAATATTTTAATTCTGAGTGACAGTTTTACGTTTCTTTAATTTAAAAAAACATGCAACTTCTTTATATGCAAGCATTTGTAAATTTATAAAAATAAGTTTATAAATTTTTATTATATAATTTTTAAAAAGAATATGCACTTTCACAATAAAACTGTAATTTATAAAAAAGAAATTTTTGGTTTTGAATAATAATTTTTTTTTAAATTGAAGCATTATAGCAAAAGCGTAAATTATAATAATTGCAAATACCTGCATTCTTAATCTGAACCATAATATCATGATCTGATTGATCATGATATAAAACTAATTTTCAACTTCTTCTATTTTATGATACATTTGCCTCTACATATTAAGTTTACAACGGAGCCTATGTTTTATTTATTATTTATGTACGCAATCGAATGTAATAAACGTGAAAAATTCTAATAGTACTATCGAGATAATTCCTCAGAAGCATAATGTACTTTTCATTTAACATATTTTACTTTTATGATCTTTTGTTATTAACTTTACTTCAATGAAAAACTCAAAATTATTATTATCACTCTACTACTGTATCATTATTTTTATATGATAGTTCATTAAAAGCTACACTACAAATTAACGCTGTACTTTTGCAGCTCAATAAATCGAACAAAATTGCAGTGCAACGCATTTGCGCCGCGTCAAACCGAAGAAGAGCGTATCTATTGAATCGTGGCGCAGCAGAATAATGCCGAAGACAGATCATCTTTCGATGCCTACTTGAGCCTGTCGCCACCTTCGAAGTTCAAATTAATGGTCGCTACCCCCTGGCCGTGCTTGTTCTTTGCCACGGCCCTGTACTCGCCCGCATCCCCCTTTGCCACATTGTCGATCCTCAGTCTTGCGAGATGGTACAGCTTCTGATCAAGCTCCAGTGACGTGGTGAACCGCCCGCCGTCTTTCACTTCCTCGGTACCGTGATACCTGCGATCGCCGCCAAAGTGCCAAGTCGAAGCAACCGCCAGATTGACTGGTATAACGGGTCGTGCGTTTGGAAGTAATATTGACAATATTGAACAAGATCGGAGCAAGATACACTATCAAATTTTTTTACAATCGAAACATTTTGATAAGTATGTGTAAATTTTAAAATATTTACTCTCTTTTCATAATTACATTATTATATCTTTCAAAAATATTGAAAGGCGATCTTTTCAGGGAAAAGTTAAATTTCACGCAAAGTTTTTCTCTTAATTTCAATTCGATATATTTTTTCTTAATTTTATTATTTAATCGATACTTTTAGTGTCTTTGATTCACGTTTCTTCCGATAATTCAATAATGACACTTTGCAATACTGCTTCCTCGCGCGCAAATTTCAAGATCTTACCACTTGACACTTGGTTTCGGATCGCCGACAAGTCGACATTCGAAGGTGATGGTGTTACCGTCGTCGGATTGTCTAATCACCGGTCGTTCGGTGAAGGTAGGTTTAATACCGTCATCCGGTACGGGTGCTTCATCGCCTACGTTCGACACAAACGATCGACATGTCGAAAATTGTTCGTACACACGTTTGCTTGCCTACTCAATCCTTTCGCTGCAACAATTAATGTCAAACTCCAAACACACGTCATCCTCTCTAAATTAAAGATACGTTTCCGTAAAATTGTTTTCAATTTAAAATAAGTTTTATATAAATATATCAAAGTGTGAATAATATGGTTTTCAAAATAAACTTTCTTCCTTTTCTTAAAAACCACTTACCGTTTAAATATTATTTACACAGAAAAGAAATAAAAGAGAGAAAAAAAGATCTTAATTTTTTAAGTCAACTTCCGACTGATTAACTCAATTTGAAAGACACAAGAAATGATTCTGCAGCGAAAGGCTTAAATATGCGAAGCACTTTGTAGTTTGATGCGAGATCGGGAGTCACGTATCGATTTGGCTTAAATAGTCTTCAAGAGTTTCTAAACGTACTATAAATATTTATCTGCTAAATAAGAATGTCGCAGTTTAATTTATAGTAATCTATTCAGCATTCGATCTTTACGTGATCGATTTAATCATGTTTCGTTTATTCGTACCGTCGTATATATAATGTGTGCTGAAACCAACGCTCAGGAATACACGTTTAAGGATTCAGGATCCTTTTGCTGATCGACACCTTGTGTATTAGGTTGCTTTCTCTACTCTCCTTCCGTCTATTCGCAATGCTTCGCTTGGTTGCTCATAAAACTGTGTCACCTGCTCCATTTCTTTCGTATACAGTTTTGAGGACGAACGCGCGCGCGGTTAAATGAAAAAAGGAACGCTGCACAGTTATGCACAAGCATTTCGTCAAACGCTGTTTGTGAGTGAGTGAATAGTGTAATATGTACATTCGATTAACACGATGTAACGATTCAATTTCATTAATTTTAATCAAGAAATTTCAATTTCATGATTCCAATAATTACGACTTATCATTGAAACCGCGGATACCGCGTGCGAAAAAAGTTGTGTGTTTCCATGTTGTGTCGATTAAAATACGTGATATTAATCGATGATGTGAATATATACAGTATGACAGAGCAACACATAATTTCAAACGTTTCTGTTTTATTGATAAAAAAAATCTCTACGAGCAAATTAGCCGATGAAAATGACTAGTGAAGCATGTGACAAAGACACATGTGAGTATATACAATATTAGAGTCGTCGTCATTAACTACATATTTTACTACTTTTTAAAAACATTTCCATACTTGCCAGTTTTAATTCTACAAACACATGTACATTTAGATTGAAATTATTTCTAAAATGTATCTAATAAAATCTCTTACGCGTAAATAATTTTTACAAGAATATTATGTTATACATAAGGCAACTGAGATGTACTCGCCATTAATAAAATTGTCATACTTGATTCTAGAGTTACATCGAGTGCTATGTTTTATTAAAAATTGTAAGCAATATTAACTTAAATTTTGTGCAATTGCAGTCAAAAAGAACGTGACATCTCTGTTGGAATTAAAAGTGCAAAATCACAAATGATAATGTGTGCAAGTAAGGAAATATATATTATATTGTTAGCAGATCTAACCACCACAGAAACTTCGTATAATTGCGTTTGCATGTGTGTGAGCGACGTATGGACGCAGTGCATCCGAAGACTGCCAGTGCAAACGGAGGCTTTTCGTAGATGTTCACACACGACAAACGTGATCGTATGAATAGAGAGAAAAGATGTCATCGAAGCAACCTAACGAAGCGTCAATAATGTTTAATGCTAATCTGTAATCGCATCTCGTGCATCAGTACAGATAATAATTCATCTCGAGACGTAAGTAATATCTCCAATTTCGGCGCGAGATGCGATTCGAATTAATACGTGATTGAAGCAGCAGTACACGCGTTGTTACAAGTTGATTATTTTGATCCGCTCTCTACGCAACTTTTACGGTGCAAAATTCATGAGAGACAAACAACAAATGTGTGTTTCTCTCACAAAAGAAAAAGATCGTTTAGTCGATTAAAATCAAATCAACGGGCTGTATATCGTGGCTCGCGTCGAGCCGATATCGATACGTGCTCATCGCTCGACCGAGACAAACCATTAAAAAATAAAGGTTTCCGCATAGATTTACAATGAAAGAGTAGAAAGAGACTGAAGAATGGACTGCTGATGGAACGGAAAAAAATTAAATAATAAACAGCGGATATACGTTGGTGTAGAGTCGACATGAAGGATATAGATAAACGGGGCAGATAATTGAGATGAAGAGAGTCAGAAATGAAAGAGAATCATCGATATACATCCCGAGTGAGAATGTGAGACAAGAGTTTGAGGAATGGCGCCGATGATCCACTTTATTGTCCGCTTCAAGGCAATGCGGAAAGGGATGAAGGGAAAAGTATTTGCTACTTTAGAAATTTACAAAGTTAAATACAATTAATCAGACATTATTAAAAAATGCTCATTAAAAATTATTTCTAAAATTTTAAAGAAACTTATACAAAAAATGAATAACAAAAATTACGATAGAATTTTCTCACAGACATAAAAATTAAATATTTTGAAATGCCTGCTTGATATCAAAAACAAATTAAAGCTAAAAATAATTTAAGAAAACTTATTGTTAACAACGCGAATTATCGAGCGTATAACTTCTAAAAAAAATTAAGCAGGTGAATGTTAAAAACGTAAAGCGGATCATCGGTTGAAGTATACATGGGTTTGTGGTTATTTATCGCAAAACTTCAGATACTTACTGTCAAAATTCAGGGAAATCGTAGCGTTAGACTCGCCGAGCTCGTTCTTCGCCGTGACCTTATATTTGCCAGCATCCTCGACGGTCACGTTTTTTATTTCTAGGATGGCGAAGTACGAATGGCCATCTTTATCGACGGTCAGCTACATAAAACGGTTTAACATCGTTACTGCGCTTCAGTTATTTCGAATACGCCCTTAATTTTCCTCGTAGAAGAATTGAAAAACAAAGAACACTTAAGGAAATATTAATCCTTACGATTTGGAAGCTATTCGGAGAACTTAATACTACACGTACACAATAGATCAAATCTTCTTCAGGAGAAAAATAAAATTTAATTTTGCTATTCAATCTCTTTCGAATTTATATATTACTACTGTAACTGTACGTGATGGATCGTAATAATATAAACTGACGAACCTTGTGCCTCGGCGAATCTTTGACTATGTTCCCGATATGAAACCATGTGATTTTCGGCGTGGGATCTGCTGTGATACGACACTCGAACAACAGCCGTTTACCATCATCCTCCTGTCTAATCGAGGGCTTCTTTGCGAAAGTCGGCGCAATGCCGTCAATTTGTCTACAAGTGCAAAATAAACGCGTAAGTCTGGAAATGTATCCGCATAAATTTATCGCTCATTAAAGCGTTGATCGAATTAAATCACAGTGAATGAACGCAAAAAAAATTTAGATGTGTCGTCACAAACACATAGGGTATCGCTGACAATTTTAATCTCATTTCCAACGTGATCGACCAACACCTTAGCGAATCAAAAGACACAAGATCACATCTGTCATTAACAAATCACATGCTTTAGGTCGTAAATGTGTACACACTATGGCTAAATAATTAGTAAAAAGAATTAGTAATACATTTCTAAAATAATTAAGACTTCTAAGAACGAATATAGTTATAATATTAAATAAAGATGAGAAAGATCATAATATTTAGGTAATATAATAAGAGAAAAGCAGCTTACGCGGCCGCTTTAGGATTTATCTCTCTTTTCGAAAATTGCTGCCAGAAATAACCTTGTTTTGATTAGTCGATGTTTCCTGACGAGAGAAACTTGTCGAACAACTTATTCTGATTCTGACAGCTAACAACCACTTTAAAATCCAATATATCGCTATTATAATCAATACTAGTGTTTTTTTGGCGCCAATATTTTTATCAACAGTTAAATATTTGATTCAGAAAAATTCTGAGAAAAATCGAAAGCTCCAAATTAAATATAATCTCTAAGACGACTGTTCCCGTGAAATTTTAAAAAATTCCTTAACACTTTTTACTTTTTCAAGAAAAAAACCAAAATTAACTTTTTTTATTATAAAAATTGGATTATAAAAATAAATCAATTATAAAGCAATTATCTTGCTCAAAGATTTTTAATCTGCAAGTTTCCTGGATAGTTCCTTCCAAATTAGAGATAAAATCACTACGATTCTGACTACCGTCTCTCTTTTAAATTACTCTTTCCAACGGAATCGTTTCGAGTTACGATCACCAGTGTTTATTCTTGCAAATTGAGAGCCGGGGCGAGAGGCACGTGCCTAACACTTGCATCCCAAATGGACCATAAGTGCGTTAGCATGGGTGCGTGTTGTGACTAAGTTTAGCGAGGAAGTAGGCTGCAGCTGTTTTCTTTTGACTTTCACTCTCGTCAATCGCAGATCGATTCGATTTTCATAAACTGCGAATTTTTACTCTCGATTGACAGTTTGCCATGTTGAGCTTATTAACCAAATTACTAAAAATCTCACAGTCCAAAGTTTCGCGAATTTTACATGAATACGTTTTATGCTTTCGAGTGAATTATCTTTCTATTATAAATTAGAAATTATATATTAGAAGCATCTAAGATCCAGCTTAACCTTCATGACATGTTCTCATCGGTACTTATTAGTTTAAATTCTCACGGTCCAATAAGATTTGATATTGAATTATCTTTCGCACTGACCGAATTTTTTTCGGTACGCATCATGGAACGCAAACTGCGACACGTTTCAGGAGGCGCGTGGAAGCGGAAAGGCTCGCGTTACTTTTAGAAATTCACGGGAATCATGTCTGTCGATGCGATCCCGAAATACAGCTTCTCGTCGTGTCGTCGCCGCCGACTACTACTTGAGGGAACTCGTCGAGAACACTGTCGACCCAGTTTTCGAATTATCTTCGAAAATCATTAAAGTCGCAACGAGACGCGAGAATAACTGCACGCAGGATGCAAAAAGAGATTTAAGAACTGATAAATGCTTTCCGTTCGTGCAGATTGCACAAAGATTTCGTAATTGATTTGCCAGCTGTGCTGCACCAGTAACCTAATCAGCACACAATATTTAAATAACATGTTTTAAACATTTGTCTAATATTTTTACATTAAACAGATATTCTTTTAATATTTTTTAATATTGTGTGCTGAATTGTTTTTGTTACAATTAAACTGTTACAAAGTTAAAGAACCGCTTATCTCGCTTCGTAATTGTACTATTAAAATATGGTCATATTATTAAAGAAATGTTTCTCCTTTTTTAAGGCGACACCAAACGTATAAAGTAATACAAAAAATTAGTGCTTAATTATGCAACTTATTGTTATTACAATTTTAAATCTTTACTTACTGCGTCTATAATTTACTATGCAACTAAACATAAATGTGCAAACAAACGTATGTTTTAACAATTGTAATTTAATTTGTAACTCTTATATACTTGTATACTTTTCTCTCTTCTCTCATTAAAATTCAGCTATAGTTTAATCAATTATCTACTTTTCTCTCTCTTAATCCAATCACTTCATAGTTATGATATAGACAAGTCGTAGTTCAGGCAATATTTATTATAGTAGCTTCTCTTTCACGAGAGATAACGTCCAAAATAATCCGGCCACTTTGTGGACGGATTGCGCGTGCGAAACACGAGTGGTATCCAAAACTAGAAGACCTTAATTCTATTTCCATCCACATTTCGTGTTTGCGGTTCTATCTACGTGGGTGGATCGGTAAGAAGCGGCCGATCATCCAGCTAACGCGTAGCGAGCCACCGTGAGTTCTATTGGATTGTACGGTGCGCGGTGTAAACGCGACCAAAAATAGCGGACATACCACGACGGTTATTCTCGGTCAGGCCAATTTAACGTGTTCTCGAACGTTATCGGTAGAGATAGCGCAGCAATGGTAAATAATGCACCGAAGAGACAGAAATTTTATACGTAACTTTCGCACTTTTGCAAGAAACTCTCTACAAACTTGCATTAAACTTTTATATTATTCTCATAAAGAATTTGTAATCGATTGAATTTCGTGGAAAATTAAATCAGGATGTAATTCAATAGAAAAATTATTTAATATTACAAACTACAGGATTTAAAATGTTTCCCAAATTTTTGAGAGAAATAAAGGAAATTATAATACATACGTTATAAAATTAATTTTCTGTAATATTATCGTCATATCTGATATTTTTCTTGATTAAAAAATTGGTGGAAGAAATGATACTATGTTGATTTTACGTCAAATTAATTATTAATTTAGTAATAAATACAGTTACAGAATATAGCGTAAATAATGCTCTCACCCTCTTCCAACGGATTGATCAGCAGCTAAAATCATAAATAAAAAACAAAAAACAACGAAATAAGCGAGAAAAGCAGAAACAGAAATAATGCAGAAAAATCATACGATGGCGAAATAATAACAGAAATGCATTAGTGCATAAATGCGAAGCGTAAAACAAGTTAATTAAACAGAGCCTGGAGAAGCGACAAATGAGTTTTCCTCTCAGTACAAACTGACTTACTTCTCTCTAGGCTCATCCATTGCTAGAAAAATATAACAAAATGTTATATATATGTATAACCAAGAAATGACGTAAAAAGAAATTTCAAGTAAAAGAATTATATGCAAATTTATATCAATTGACAATCAATATTTAAAACTATCGACATCTTTTATTACAAATTAAAAACAAAATTAATTTATTGTAATATAAAAAATTAATTTTTACGTAAAAAATAGATCTACATTTTTAATAATGGTTAATCCATTTTAATTGCTTTATTAATTTATTAATTAACTTTAATCGTAGTTTAATCAATTGTCCTATTTTCTAAAATTCGAAATATAATAAATAAATACGAATATGGTAAAATCAGTCATAAGTATGTGAAAAATTTCCTATTAGATCAGTGACTAGCCTACTTAACCCTTCTGTTAATATATATAGATATCCGGACATCTATATCTCTATATCAAATTTTAACAGTAAAACTTTTTATATTTTGTCTGAATTTTATTATGATGTTTTATTTACACTCTGTAAACAACAACGAACAGTTTTTCACAATTGTCCCCTTTTTACTTTTATATCTTCAAAAGAATCTTTGACACATGGTAATGTAAACGTATACATTGATAGAAGGGTTAATTCCATAACACGTGTAATTTTATTTTTATAATATAATAAAAATATGGCTACTATTTTGAGAAATATAATTAGGAAATAAAAAACGAAAATACGATATAAATACTTACGACTAAAGTTGAGGTTGATAGAGGCAGCGACCTCGCCCATTTTGTTCTTCGCCTTGACCTTGTAGAGGCCTGCGTCGGTCTCGATGACGTCGTCGAGCTCGAGCACCACCAGGAACTTATTGGTCCCGACACTCTGCATCTTGAAGTTGGTCCTGTCATCCTCGTTGAGTTCGGTTTCGCCACGGAACCAGGAAATGTCAGGTTTAGGTGAACTCACTAGCTGACACTCGAATATCAGCCGATTACCGTCATCTTCCTGCCGCAATTGCGGCTTTTGCGTAAAGCTGGGCGCGAAGTCATCGGCGACCCCCATCGTGGAGGCACGCCTTCGCACCTGTCTTTACAACGAGATCTGGAAGATCCCGTTTGCGTGTTCACACCCGCGACCCAAGGAAGGAAACAGTTCCTTCGCCCAGCTCGTCGGTTTAAATGGCGCCGACCTGCGGCACCATCCAACCTGTTTCTGTCGCGGATTTTTTCTGAACTCGACGTCCACCTTTACTCACTACTCACACTTCTGAGAATACTAGAAGCAAAAAGAATACAAAACATTACATTAATATGGTAATTAATAAACAAGATGTCCCAGGTTTTAATCCTGAGATATATCCAAATTGTATTAAATTTCCTTATCATTAGACTTTTACGTTTTTTAATTGTAACTTTTTAATAAAATTTCTGTATGAACTTATATCTATTTATATGTAACACTCATTTTTACGTATAGACATAGTTTAATTATCAAATTTTGGAACACTTAGCATATAGAAAATAAAATTAAATAATTTCTTTAAAAAACCGAAATATAAAGAAGATTGAAAAAATATATAAAACATTAAATATGTGTGCATTATTTCTAAAATGTATATATGGATTGTATATTATTCTTAAATAAAAGCATTATGCTCTGTTATAAGTCATCTGTTTTGAAAAACCCTATATTTTCTAGACAAAAATTGGATATAATTTTTTATTAGCAATTAATTAATTATATTAAAATTCTGACGGAGAGAAGATGGAGTTAAAATTTTTACTTCATCAAGAAATACAATCTCGTTTATCTTTATTCCTTCAGAATTTTAATTTATCATCTAACAATAATGATTATTTAAAAAATTGTTTCTCTGTTTTGCTCGATTAATATTTACAGTTCAGAGTTCGGAGTGATGGCATCGATTATACTTCGAGTCTAGTCATCATGGTTCAGTAAACCTTGGCAGCCTGAGTTGCTGTCACCTATAGTTGCTACACCCACAGCTATTTTTGTACAGATATCTATACTTAATCCTCTTTAGCATTGCCTTACGAGCGTGGTAATATATACGATGAGGTTCCTACGTGAATATTTATTCTAGATGAATGAAATACGTGTAGCGACGAAGGATTTTAGAGCGGAAACAATTTTTAATTCTCAATATTATAAGTCGCGGAAAGAATCAATAATACGACAAAAATTACAAAAATGTTGAAAGAAATATGAACCGTTGATAAAGTTACTTGGAATTAAACGTGGCTTTGTCACTGTGGTTAATCTTTGAAGGGAAGATCGCCAGGAAACGGCGAAATGAAGCGACTCTTCGGCCGCGACAGTGAAAAAACGTCCAGGAATAATTTATCGTGTGTAATAAATTCAAAATAGATGTTTATATATATATATATATATATATACATAATTTAAAGGAAGTACGGAACGATCGTCGCATTCTCGCAGTAAACGAGCAAAACCTGCGAAATTGCTCTTTAACTCTTGGCCGTAGATTGCGACTTTGCGCTTACGATTTTCAGCTGCTGAAAATGCGAATCCTTCCAAAATAATACGATGATAAATTACGTATATACGTGCTCTTTCAATGTGCTTTATCGAATATCCAGGTGTTCCCGATATATTTTGCCAAGCGTTTGTATTTTCAGATCGTTCGGAAAGCGACAGAAATCGAAATTCTCAAAAAAATTACACATTCGTTAGAGTGCAACATTATCCTATCAAACATTACTTCTTCAATAGAAATATTTTTGAAGCTCTTTTTCTTCCAGCTGTTTCTAATTACTGACAATAAAGCTAAAGTAAATGTACCAATTAGTGAACAGTTAATGGACATGATTCAATTTGTTGAACAAAGTAGTACAAAATGTTAACCTTTTAACGATATGTATGACTCAAAATAAATTTGACGTTTATAAAAATTTAATAACATATTTATTTAGAATTGTACATATCATTAAAAGTTTAATATTTGAAATGTTTTAATCACTTTGTCCAACAATTAGTTTATGTCCACTAACTGGTATCCACTTATATCAATCTTTTACTAAACATAATTATCAATAAAAATTATTAATGTTATAATTATTAACGTTCGCTCAATATGAATTTTCTCTTCAGAATAATAAGCACCATTATGTGTCATGAAAAAAGTGTAAAAACCGTTTGTATCAATTTTCTTTCTCCAAAAATGCAAAATCTAAAGTATGAATTAAAAATTATTTTCGCGTCGGTCTAATAATAATTTCATGCAAAATACTGCAATGAGTATGAGCAACGCCTGTTTTTCCTCAATCGCCACGTCAAAAGGATCTCATAATTTACAAGTGCCGGGCCTATTTTCGGCAGGTACTAACGCGATGGTGAAGACGTCGACGAGGGCGACGATGGCGACGACGGTGACGACAGGTCATCCGAACCGTCGATATACAAGACTATTAGTCGGCTACGTTTAACTGCAAATTGAGCGTGGCGAACGACGAATTTTCACGGAATTCGCACGATTTTCGTTCTCCGAGCTCGAGCGAGTATTTTCCCGCGAGGTTCCAAGGCCGAGGGAACCGTGGGGTGACGTAAGGCCACTATTATTAATGCGGCTCTTGGCTCGAAAATAGGTTGGGCCAGTTATCTTGGTAATCGGTTATTATGTTTGGCATCTAACCGTGGAAGTCGCGTACATTTGGGTCGCGATACAACCCGTCGGATGTAATATGTTCGCGCGCAAGTCCGGACAATCGTTCCTTTGAAACCCGTGGCATCGCGCGAAGCCTTCAAGTGCCAGAAAGTGTCGATTCGCTTAAGTGATCGCCAGCTACGTGGCTAGATCATTTTCATGTGACGTATGGCGTGACGTGGCTTAACACACAATGACACCAATTTTCTGCACCTGTTTTTCTCTCGCAACTTTATTATTTTCTAACAACAATTTCCTAATGATAAACAATAAGTGTTCTATATTATTTCAATCAATCAGAAGAAAATCTAATTATCAGAAATTATTGTATATATAGATGTTGTTAAGCTGGAATTATTGAACTATAAAATATGTTTGTGATTAAAAAATGATAAAAATATAAAAGAGTTAAATAGCTTATAAATTGCTTATTGCTGTAAAATAATTGAAACATTTAAATAGCAAATTAATATATTCTATTTAGTTCGTTTTTTTTTTGTATCTATAAGAAAGATAATTTCTGAGATTCTGTGTCTAATTGTTATTTTCACGAATTTGACAAAATGACTGCTAGTTTGAGTAAGCTTAAGCAATTATCTATAATTTTTTAAATATATTACAAATAATATTTATAAATAGAATATATAAGATATGTTTAAATATGATTGAAAGCTGTGCAAATGTTAGTGATAGGTGACAATCGTTTCAGAAGATATGAATTAGTTTTGCGTGACGTGTGCCGGGAGAAGATTGCCAAGTGCAAGGGTAGGTGTTGGGACACGAGACGATATCCTTCCGGTAACGTGAGATTCGCGTAATTGGTTGCTTGCCACCGTCCGAGCCACAAAATTGTGAAACAAATCATCCTATTATGTCAGCTCCAGGCAATAGAAATATGATACGCCTGGCTTCGCTTACACTGTCTTAAGAAGTGCCAAATAAACGAATTATAACACAAAATGAAAAGATAAAGGAGCTATCCGACAACATCGATGTTAAATACGTCAAATATATAAAAATTCAATGTTTCTTTATTTTTTTTTCTTAACTCATATAGAAAATTTATAGACACACACACACACTAGATCGAATTAATTAGTAGAAATTAATAATAAATTAATTCTAAACGTAAATTTTTAATTAGATTTTTACAACTCATATATATATATATATATATATTTCGGAGACGATATAATGTCGACATACATTCTACGACTAGTGGTACGATTTATAGTTGATCTTTTTAGACGAGACCAAGCAGATGCGAGGGAGAGCTTAACAGACCGATGAAACCGACATGCAAAACGGACGGACCGAGTATTACAACGTCACAGTAAAACTTGGCAAGTGGCCTCCACATGCATTCCCGAAATTACTGTACTTCGTAACAGCCGTTCGCATTCCGGCTCTTTAATCCGATGATTTTCGGCGCTGCGGTTATAATCTAACGATTGATTTTTCAGAAAGGAAAAAAAACAAATATAAAAAAAGTTACAAGATTTTGAAATATTCATAAAGTTTGATTAAAGAAATTTTGTCATATCAATCTTTTTACTAATTTAAAAATTTGACACGCGAGAAGGATTGTTTTCTTATTGTTAGATCTTATTAAGACAAACATTTATTTCTCTAAATTTATAATATATGTTTTTGCTCTTACAAAACTAAGTTAGCTTATTGCTGAATATTGTTTCACCTAAATAACGTAAGCAATTTAAATTTATACTTTAAGATTTAATATTTAAATATTGTTTAAATTTATTGTTTAAAAAACTAAAAACCATGAATTAGAATTTACGCATTTCACAGAAAATATTGAGATAGGAAGAGAGAGAGAGAGAGAGAGAGAGAGAGAGATCGTGTCTTTTGACACTGAAAATTATTTAAATAATAAAAAAAAATTTTGAAAGTGTTATATTATTGTTTTCAAAAATATATTACTATTTTTTTAATAAAGCTAAACAATAAGCAATTTTTAGAATTGTTAAGATATTGATCGAGAAATATGCTATTTAAATATGCTCCTCGAATATGTCAGCACATTGTACGTGAGAGAATGTCGGCAATCAACTGACCTAATATTTTTGCTGGCTATATAGAAAGTGTTGCTTCACTTTGGCATAATTCTGTCGGCTATTTGTGATACAATACTCTGACCCAATAAAAATGTAGCACATTGCTATTATATTATACATTATCGTTAGGCATATAAGTGGTTTGTAACGAAACAATTTTATAAAAAAAAACAAAACAGAATTAATATTACGACTGCATTATTATCAATAAAATTAAGAAGATATAAAAAATAAAGTAAAAAAAAACAAATGGGAAATAAAAATTAAGAATGGGGTATTGCAGTATATGTAGTGTAAAATCTCACAATGGGAATAAATGTTCAATGAGTGTTTGTTACTGAATCAGCACCGTTAAAAAGGGGTGATTACTTTTGGCAGAGTTCTGAGCCACGTGTATTGTACTAAACAATCTCTTTTCTTCGCCATCATGAATTTACGAGACAGTTCACGAGTATGCGACCGCTCTAACATATATATAACGTACAAAATAATAAAATTTGACATAAAATTGAATTAAAATTTTTATGCAAGTTATAATACCTTTGTATTACGAATAAATGTTATTAGGCATAACAATAATTTTCAATATAACGCATCTATTTTTATCGAATCAACTATGTATTTAATCGTGACTAATGCACCTACTGTTGTACACCCACTCACTTTTATCATCATGTGAAATGAATAATCTAAAAATATTTAGCATTCTATATATTGTACTGCATCGTAGCAAAATGATTCACATTTTGAATCACACAATGCTTTCCCCGGGAAAAAGGAATTTAATTCATAACAGTGAGAATTACAAAAAATGTATTTAAAGAATGCAATAATAATAGCATTTATAATAAAAATTGAATTAAAATATCAAAAACATTCAAACATCATTGAATCATTGCTTCAATACACCTAACTTATAACTTTGATTTTTGAATAAAAAGAAAACATAGATAATATTTTAATTTTAGTATTTTTTAATATAATTAAAATAATATTTTAATTTCATTTCAATTAGTTTCTGAAAAGTTCAACGTTATATAAAGAGCTTTTTGTCACATAGCAATGATTCATTTCTGAATAGTATTCTACGCTCAAGGTGAAGTCATATCCGGAACTAAATTCTACTCACGAGGGTTATAATTATTAGTCGTACGATGCATTTTCGCAGGCGCACTCTACCATGCCTATACTACTGACCGCGTTACTTGCGACGCACCGTGCATCTATTTTTGCCGACTGACTCAAACGAGTCGACAACAGTACTAAAATCACCGATCGACGTCCCGATCTATCCGCGATAAAACGCGAGAAATTCTGTAAACAAGCATTCGCACTCGACTTTTTGGCAGAATGCGGCAAAACGTCCGGTCGCAAAATCAGAAATTATGTTAAATAACGTCGCTGTGATGAAAGGTTCACTTGGCCCATTTGTGATATCACACATTGCTAGATTATTGGCGATATCGTGAAAAATAAAATAAGAACGTCAATTATATACAAATATATAAATAACAAATTTAAATATGACAGAAGATTGATATAAATTTTGAAGTAACACAATATCGATTTACATCATAATGCAAAAATATCTTGCAACTTTTGTTGAGCAAATTAAAATATGAAGTTTTAATAAAATATACGCAGAACATATATAAGTTTAGACATTAAATAATTGTTCGGTCATTTAATATGTTTTGCAATATTGGAAAGGTCAAGAATATAATTCTTTCTAGATTAGCCTTCTATTGTAATAAATTAATCATTACGTGGGGTCTACAATAAAAAGTAATAGCGATCGTAGGATCTTAAATCGTAGAAAATTAATTAATCACAGTCAAATATGAAAAGAATAATCGATATGATTGGTCAATTTTTTAGGATTTCTAAATTCCGTTTTAGTCCTTAACAACTAGTCAAGTAAACAAACTGGAATTGTTGATAAATGAGATACTGACACGTCGAACAGTTGAAACATTGTTACGAAAAGCTAAATGATTTCATAAATAAAAATTATAAAATTAAAAACTGCATATTTTTTATTATTTATATAGCATTAGCATTTATCTTATTAAAATTTTAAGAATTTTTATGTAATTATACATATGTATACATAATAATTAAGAATTATTATGTATAACTCTTTTCTGTGTTTTTTTTTTATTAAAAAACGCATTAATTACATAAAAAAAAAGTGAAGCAAATTGTCTGTTTGAATCAAACAATACAGCCAAGAATAATATCACTTCGCACTAAAGCTGACTCTAATGACAGGTGAACCAAGTCGCTTGGCAAACAATGTAACAATGTCGACAATCTGTCCAAAAATACGTCGATATGCATAAATATACGGAATGAATAATCGATTGAAATGCATATATATCAAATTAAATTATAAATAATTAACGTATCACAGAAAACACAATATTTCGTCTCACATCAGATAATAGCGTTTTGACACAGATATCAATCAAGTCAATCATTCAAATAAATAGATTTTTACATTTAATAAATTTAATTATGAAATAATTTTCAAGTCATTTACAAAAAATAAAATTCTTGGAAAAAATTTTAAGAATTCAAATAAAGTTATAAATATATTTAAGAGTATATATAAAATTTAACTAAAAAACATCTTTCTCTCATATATCTTTGTAAAATTAAAGTTCTCTTAAACTATTTTATATTAAAAACAGCTGTGAGAATAAACTAAAATATATAATTGTTTAATTTTATTCAATTAATAATTGTAACCTAAATTAAAAAGAAATTTATTTGCTTTAATGATATTTTTAACATTGCATTTGTTAGATTTAATCGTATTAAAAAAATTCTTTTTCGAGACAGACGCATGTTGATTTAATTTACTTTTCTTTGCGTTCTTTACGAACCGGCTTCTCCGGATTCAACAAATCTCGCAGAATTTGTGGAATGAGGGATATTTTTAAATCAGTCAGATATTTTTTTTTTTCTTTGAGGTTCTCATCAATCGTCGGAAGAAAGAATTACAACATTTTACTACGATAGCGGAAAAAATTTTTGTAAGTAAATACTTGTAAGTAAATAATTTTCAAAATGTCTGTATAATCGAATCTTGACAGAATTCTTTCCTTAAAAGCGTCTCTCACATCTATTGCAAAAAATGTTGCATTATATTAATAGATTATTCTTTTTAACTGGTATTTTTTTATTAAACAATTATTAAGAAAATATTACAACAAATATAGAAAAAGCGGTAATGAAAAGACAACTAACTGATTTATCAGCAAATAAAGATATATTTACATGTAATAATGATAAATTTAAACTAAACGTTCTTTTAAATCGCACAATTAGAATTATAATTGGAATAAGATGGAGTTCAAGAAGAAGTGGGCAAATGAAACATTTGTTAATCCTTCGAATTACCGAATCACTAAAATTAACGTATAAATACGAGCTGCGAACGACCGAGTCGACCGAGAAGAGAAAGTCGACGAGAAGACGAGATGGCAAATGAAGCGTTAGACAAAGTGTCGGACAATAAGCTGATGTGAAGATAGACGGAACGATGTATGGAACAACGATACAGGCGAAAAGATGGTTGTAGGAACGACGAACTGCTCCTCACGTTACGCCCTCCTAAAAATAAGTGGACTCCGAGCCTAGATACCTAGATAGTAGTCTACGAATAGTTGCCGCCGCCGCCGCGACGGAACTCGTGGTGATTAGTCATGTAAAGTAGGATTGTCGAGCGCGAGAGACGCGTCTACATCGTGAACTTATTGGAAATAGGACTCAGATTTTTTTTATAATCTTTGGCCAAATTCCTCTTAATAATTAAATAATGAGGCAGAATGATGAAGTAATCGAAAACACAACAAAGAAATTGTTGCAATACTAAAAAGGATTCGAAAAAAATGCAAATTTGACAGAAATTAACGCTTTGTTTATCGTACAATATAAATTGCTCGCTTTCTCGCTCTCTCTGTCTCTAAAGATTAAAATCTATTCAGAAGAATCAATTTAAAAAAATAGGTATGGATTTAATACCATATAGTAATGACAAGCTATGCTTATATAATTCTTTCATGTTGATATTGATATAAACATAATGTGTATTTAACACTATTGATGTGTTTAAAATCTATAATTTTAAAACTACACTATATTAATGTTGTGGATTGTGTTAAATATCAATACGATGTGTGTGAGAAACAAATTAATTTACATAATTAATCAATACAATTTTTCAATCAACAGTGAGCTCCTCCACGTCGTGATAATTAAGGTACAGAATAAATAACAAACAAAACTAAATGGATGAAAAAGAAAAAGAAGAAAAACAGAAAAATTGAAAATATATTAAATAAAAAATATGTGTAAAATACCACAATTTATTATTTCTGATATTTTTAATTTTTCTGTTTATCTTCTTTTTCTTTTTCATCCATTTGGATGAAAATGCAACGAGGATGGTTACTTGCTTTTCGTTATCCATTCCAATCCTCGATCACTTAAAATTTTTAATATTCATTCATCTTTTATATCATAACTGTTTCTGTGGATACATTTCATTGTATAATCGAAATAAGAGAGAACGACTGATTTATCAGGATAACTGGATCATTCTTATGAGAGCGTGACATACCTCCTCAATCCACTTGTCCCTTCATCTACCCCTGGCAAATCACTTACTGTAGGTGAGCGTGTGTAAAATCGATCCGTCACTTGTTGCTCACACTTCGACACTGATCCACACGCGATCTTTGACGTTAACAGGCGATCGAAGGATGAAAAGGGGAAAGAAGGAATTCGAAAGAAGTTCAATCACTCGGACAAGGTGTCATGAGAAATCGCACTAACACGCGTGAATCCGGCAATCGTCACGCACGCTCCCTCGCAGCCACACAACGTGCGCATCCAACGCATCATCGAGAGACTTACTTGAAGTGTCTTCAGGAGAGAATGAACGCTTTTCCTGGTGCGTGTTCCAGCACCTGGCTGAGCGTTTCCTCGAACACCCGACGACGGCGAACGTAGTCGCTTATTCCTGGATCACTCCAACCCCCCCGAGGCAGACAATAAGACGCACACACTCGGTTTGGGGGACTCGGCTTGAAAATTTTACAAGCTCGCACGAGAACAAAACTGGGAAAAAAATTGAGAGGAACTCTTTTCTTCTTATTTTCAGATTCGATCGTCTTCGTCTTCGTCTTGCGTCGTCGTCGTCGTCGTCACTCGTCGTGTGGTCGCTCGTCGCTGTCTCGCTTCTTGTTTCTCGTATCCTACTCTCTTTTTACTTGCACAGAGTGTCTCTATCGGTCGTCCCAATCTTCGGGGCCCCGCGCGCCAACTAAACGCGCGAGGTATCGTGAAGCTACCTCGAGGTTGGAGTTTCGCCCACCATTACGACCACCACTACCGTCGCCACTACCACATCTTACTTGAAATCCTATGTCTTACATCCCCGCCGAGCCTACAAAACGCCTACGCTATCACGGGCGCCGCGACGCTATGTATGATACATTGAAGTACATGAAGTCACGTCCGATAAAGTGATAATGGCACGACCAGGTCAGACACGTGTTCTCCGCGCGGTATTGCTGATGAAAAGCTATTATTCTACTATTTGAGAATATTTTCGTATCATTTAAATCACCTATTTATTCTTCGATATACAAGATTTCTACGCTAATACAATACGTAATTTATTGCATTGATATTATGCAGCAAAAAGTATTATTGGCGAATTATTCAAGGTCGGAGATTCCCCAAGTGTGAGCGCGCTAATAGACATATGCATTCAGTGCAGAGGACGAGAAAAAGCATTTATTACACGCTATACTTCTTTCGTAATCGGACGCGCGCGTGCCGCACCAAATTTCATTTTAGTTCTTATATCTGGCGCATTGCTGTTACACAATAATGTTTACTTTTATACGATGAGGTCAGAAAATTAACGAAGACGACAATGCGTTATATAAAAATTCGAATTCGCCTAAGTAAGATTCTTTACCATATATAAAAACTTATTATTATAATTAATTTATTATCAAAGACCGTTATAATTATAATAAAAAATTCAGATATATCTACCTGTAAGTAACAGAGTTTCTTTTTTATCCTATTATCCTTGCATTCTATTTTTTTACACCATCCAGTTAAATCTTTCGTAATAATGTTATCATAATATAATGAAATTTTATCATATTCATAAATAACAGCACATTACTCATAAAGATCCAAAGTTACTCATAACCTTTTTTTATTCAAATCTTTTTTTAACATTGTATTTATATACATATAGCCGAATATACATGGCGTTACGCTCAGCGCATTGACGTGACTTCGTCATTTGCGCGTTCTATTTCTTGTCACTGGCGAGTTTGTCATATGGACGTTGTCGTCGGCAACGAATCTAAAAATGAACCCGCACTATCGACAGTGGAACTAAATGACTGGCGAAAAGTCACCGGAATGGAATTTCTCACGTTGGCGTCCCCGTGATGAAATTAGATAGCATCGTGACACTCGTCCGTACATTTTTCCTGAACAGAAAGAGACAAAGAATAAAACTTAATTGCATACATCGATCGAATTACATTGTTTTCGAGCTTGTCGAGAAATACACGAAATCGATGACAAGTAATAAACGACAAAAGTCTATAATGTTACGAAATCGAAGGAGTTTAAGAGCTATTTAGTCTGTCAACGTCGTCACATTTAGTCGCGCAAATCACATGTCATATATACATATGTACAAGAAATGTTTTACATAATTTCTAAGACATATTTATTGAAGTCTGGAGTAAATATTTTATCAGAAAAAATATAAGAGAAACGAGATATATTATTTTTAATCGCAAATTTGCCATTAAAATTGTAACGTCCTTTAGAATCTTACATAATAATTGCATGAAACTATATACAAATATAAAATCTTACTGTTAAAGTTAATTACAGTCTCGCAAATAGAAACTATCTGATTAAATAAGATATCTAGTTTATTTTGGATTAGTTAGACGTCAGATCTCTCTCTCTCTCTCTCTCTCTTCTAACTAAATGTCATTGTCACTCGACGCATAATGTTGAATAGAAATAACAAGAAAATAAACAGTCTACACTGAAATTCTTTACAGTAACAAACGTCACAGACACAGCAATTTAAAGAAAATAGGGTGACCAAATTACAATCTATGTATATACGTACATTTGATTACAGTTTAAATTACACATCGTCGATTCAGAGAATTGCAAAAATCAATGAAGAAATACACATCATTTACCTTTCACCCTTGCGGAACGATCCTTTCGTACAAGAGACGTTTAATTGCAGTAATAATTTTAGAAGTCTCTTCTCCTGATGTAAGGGGACGTTATAGTCATAACTCAACGTTGAGTGGCTGTGCGGGATGTCTCTGTATATCCTGACAAACATATTTCCTCAAACCATCCGTGAAACGTTACAACGAGGGTCTTGAGCAACGACATAATTACAAAGTTACTTATCTTTTTCTCCTGCAGTCTACGATCGGTCTATCGTAGACTGAAAATAGAGTCATGTGTCACCATGTCGTCTTCGTTAGGTCTGATTTACTGACATTTCAAAAAAAAATCAACGCTACCAAAATTCTTTACTCTTGCTGGATAATTTAATTTTTATAAAAGAATATAGTTTTAAAGGATCAAAAAAATCTCATTTTTCCAATTTTTCCGTAGATTTTTTCGGTTTTTTTTCCCAAAAATGGAAAAATTAAATGGAAAAATTTACGCGTGTTCGTAAAATATCTGTGCCATAGAGTACAATCGACAGTAGGATAATTTGAATAAGTTAAGAAATTATTTTGAAATGGTATTAAAGGTTAAAGTCGCATATTGCATTCTGTTAAACATATAAAACACACGGAACATAGATTGCGTTCAGCAGAAAAAGCAGCTTTGCAATTGTTGTAAAATTCTTAAACCTAATTGGTTTATACTTTTAGATCTAATAAAGGAAAGAACTATAAGAGCAAAACCAATCATATTAATAATTAAAGAATCATACAACACAGTTGCAAAGCTTTCTCTGCTCAACGCAGTCATAGTTTTATATTGAACCAATAGTGTATGTTCTGTATGTTTAATTGAATACACTATGCGACTCCAATCTTTATACACAATTTCTGTCAATTTATCCAAATTACTCCCTTTTGCTATGCACTAGAGGAAGGTTAGATTTTACTATAAAATAGAAAGAAGATTAAAAATTTTAATAAAAATATAATTACTTAATTTTCTGAATCACATTAATTTAATGAAGGACACTAAGAATGAAATAGTATGTCATTTATATAACAAAATAGCAATTTTTCCGGTTTTTTCCAGCAATTTGAAAAAAGCAGTTTTTTTAAAACTGTATAAAAGAATATATTATATTTTAAGGCATCAAAGCAGTGACGATTATTTAACCATGTCAAAATATGCCACTATATTTTAGGTACAAATTGGAATTCTATTGAAAGTAACATCAGGATTTCACTGAATACATGAAAAATATAGGAAAGACTTTAAATCTAGAAATAACAATTTATAATTAAAAATTAATATTTTTTTAAAATTAGACACCAGTATTCATCTATTTAATAAATATTTTAATATTTGTTTGCATTTCGTATAATTAAAAAGAATTTTAATATTAATTTTTTATTTAATTATATATTTATATAATGTGTTGCTTATTATAATTTCTTAACAAATTTAACTTATTTATACGTATACATACTGTTGTCATTTTTATTTTGGCACTCAGCAGAGTGCAGAATTTCAACCTAAATTGTCTGAATTAATTTGCTAGAGAGAATCACGCGATTGTACACATACATGTTATAAATAGTAACACAATATGTACATTTTGCGTCTAAATGTTACAATAATATTCTTGTTAAGTCGAGAGAAGGATCAAAAGAGAAAAAAATAAAAAAAGAAAAATCATTTAGAGGGAAAATCTCACGCGAAGCATCGAGACATAAGTCTCTCTCAGTTCTGGCAAACCAGGCACTTTTCTAAATTTACACGATCGCGCCTCTCACCGGCGAATCTATCTTTACGTATTAGAATCTATACCTAACGACGCCGAACATCTTTTCTATAATCAAGTTATCGTATAATTTAAAAATTAGACAAATACTTTTTCTAAAATATGAAACAAAAAGCTTTTTAAACGTCTCAAAAGATGTATTATTCTGAAAACATAAAAATATAATTACATAAAACGAAATATCAAGTGATTTAATTATTATTTTATAATTAATTATCTTAAAAATATCAGATAATCATCATTCCAAAAAGGCAATATTTTTTCCAAATACGTCCTTGGTAATTCAACAATTATTTCAATTAGCTCCAATTTTAATAATTTGAAAATTACAAAGTTTTTAATAAGAAATTATGTGAGAATTAAATTTAAATTGAAACAATAAACGTATCTTAAAATCAACTAATTCATCGAAACTTCCACTATTAAGTCAAAATACAAGAGAATGACACGTCACATTGAGAATTATCCATTTAGTGAACAAATGCTTAAAAATGGTAAATTCACAAGAGAACATCATGCAATAAATTGTTAATTTATCGAATTTATTACAATTATATATATTTTTTTCGTCAAATCTGTATTAAATAATTTATTTAAAAATTTTATCTCAAAAATAAAATACTCTCAGTATTAATACGGCAAAATATTAATATATATAAATATACA